TGGCTGCCTGGGAGAAATTTCTCTGCCTGCTCAGATCTATTCAGGACTTGAAATCTCTCAAATTAACCTGAAAGAAAAAGCCAGACCCTGTTTGGAGCACAGATTCCTTCTCTCCTGGGCAGTGTTTTGGTGGTTGCATCAGGGCCCTGGAGGAGGTGTTCCAGGAGAGAGCTGGTAATTAGGCCCTCGGGCAAATGGAGAGCCCGCTGCAGAGCCTGAGGATGCTTCAGGGAGCCTCATGCAGGGCTGGGGCCAGTGCTGGGGCTGACAGCTCCTCCTTCATCTGTGATTATTCCTAATGAGCTGGAAAAGCTCATGTTCGTTGTTGAAATTTAGAGGAACAGAATGAGGAGACTAAAATTGTCAGTATTAACATTTTGAGGTAGTACCTTCTGGGTTAAAAAAAAATTTTTTTTAAGCTTTTATTACTTAAGCTGAGTTGTGGCTCCATTCTTGTTTGTTTCATTATGCATCTTTTTTTTTTTTTGCCATACTGCACAGAATGTGGGAATTCTAATTCCCTCACCAGTGGTCAAACCTGGGCCCCTGCGGTGGAAGCTGGGAGTCCTAACTGCTGGACCACCAGGGAAGTCTTGATTTTTATTGTGTATCTTTATATGGAGCATATGTGTTATGTTTGGGTGGGACTGTGTCTGTGAAAAGTTAATATGTTGAAGTCCTAGCCCCCAGTACCTCAGTTCCGTTCAGTCACTCAGTTGTGTCCGACTCTGCGACCCCATGGACTGCAGCACGTCAGGCCTCCCTGTCCATCCCCAACTCCCGGAGTCCACCCAAACCCATGTCCTTCGAGTCGATGATGCCATCCAACCATCTCATATTCTGTTGTCCCCTTCTCCTCCTGCAGAATGCGATTTTATTTGGAAATAGAGTTGTTGTAGATGGAACTAGTGAGGATGAAGTCATACTGGAAAAGGATGGGCCCCTAATCCACTGCAACTACTATCCTTATAAAATGGGGAAATTGAGCAGCAGACAGGCACGCACATGCAGAGGGCCATTGGTAGGCTGGATTCTGCTGCCTAGGAACTGCCAAAGCCTAGGGGTGAGCCCTGGACTAGATCCTTCCCAAGCACCTTGAGAGGGAGCGTGGCCTTGCCAAGACTATTTTTTGGTTAATTTTCTCTTTTCTTATTTATTTTTGGCTGTGCTGGGTCTTCGTCGCTGCTCGCAGGCTTTCTCCAGTTTCGGTGAGCAGCGGCTACTCTTCAAGCGGTTGGCTGGCACCCCGCTGTGGCGTCTTCGCTCATGGCCAAGCACAGGCTCTAGGTGCACGGGCTTTAGTCATTGCAGCATGTGGGCTCAGTAGTCGTGGCGCATGGGCTTAGCTGCTCCGCAGCACAGGAAATCTTCGCAGACGAGGGATCGAACCCACGTCCCCTGCTTTGGCAGGCGGATTCTTATCCACTGCGCCACCAAGGAAGTCCCTGGTCAACACCTTGGTCTCAGACTTGTGGTCTTTGGAGCTATTGTTTGGCTCTGTTTAGTTTCTGTTGTTTTGTTCACCTAGCGCGTGGTACTTTATCACAGCAGCCCTAGCAAACTAATACACTTTACATACCCCCTTTCGTTCATAATTTTTAAGAGAATATATAAGAATAATACAAGAAACATCCATGTATCTCTAGCTCAAATTTTCAGTTTTTTTCTCTATGAATATATATATATATCTCTCTCTTCAGCCTCCCAAATATATACATGGTCTTATATTGAACTTACTGTTCCTACAATATATTTTTTCAACCAATAGATCATGATTATTTTTCTCCAACAAATTTTTGATCTGTTGATTTTTTTCTGACTAGAAACATGTCCCTTTACAAAAATACTTAAACATGATAGAAATCTACATCTTACAAGTGAAAATCTCTAACTCTACCTTCCAGAAATAATCAGTCCTGAGAGTTCAGTGTGTAGTCCTCCAGATTTTTTTTATAAGTATGTATCAACATGCTGCTGCTGCTGCTAAGTCACTTCAGTTGTGTCCGACTCTGTGCGACCCCATAGATGGCAGCCCACCAGGCTCTCCCGTCCCTGGGATTCTCCAGGCAAGAACACTGGAGTGGGTTGCCATTTCCTTCTCCAATGCATGAAAGTGAAAAGTGAAAGTGAAGTTGCTCAGTCGTGTCTGACTCTTAGTTACCTCAGGGACTGCAGCCTACCAGGCTCCTCTGTCCATGGGATATCCCAGGCAAGAGTACTGGAGTGGGTTGCCATTGCCTTCTCCATGTATCAACATACACAGGTTATTTTCCTACACAAATGGCATCATGGTTGACTTACAGCTTTGCAGCTCGCCTTTATTTTTCTCAGCTCTGTGTTTGGAGATCTTTATACCTCAGAACAATTGACCTTATTTTTAATGGCTCAGTCATCTTTCCTTGAATATATGTAATGTAATTTATCAAGTGGGATTCCCAGGTGGCTCAGTGGGAAAGAATCTGCCTGCTAATGCAGGAGATTTGAGACGCTGGTTTGATCTCTGGGTCAGGAAGATCCCTAGGAGGAGGGCATGGCAACCCACTCTAGTATTCTTGCCTGGAGAATCCCACGGACAGAGGAGCCTGGTGGTTTACAACCCATAGGGTCACAGAGAGTTGGATACAACTGAAGTGACTTAGCACTCATGCAATACACTCATACAATTTATCAAGTAGCTAAAATTCTTAATCCTTTCACAAATATTAGTCATTTCAGTGAGACCTCAGGTTAGACAGATCTGTAAGCTGGGATACAGAATCTACAAGTGCCCCACCCCCACCCTACCCTAACTAGTCTGTATTCTCAACTGAACTGGACCAATCATTCTTTCTTTTTTAATCTTTATTTACTTAGCTGTACAGGGCTTAGTTGCAGCACACGGGATCTTCAGTCTTTATTGTGGTATGCAGGATTTTTAGTTGCAGCATGTGGGATCTAGTTCCTTGATCAGGGATCAAACCTGGGCCCCCTGCATTGGGAGAGTGGAGTCTCAGCTACTGGACCACCAGGGAAGTTCCTGAATCAGTCATTCTTGCACCAGATTTCAGATAGAATATGCACAGGTGTACACTAGTCTTCCCAGGCAGCTCAGTGGTAAAAATTTCACCTGCAATGCAGGAGAGCTGGGTTTGATCCCTGGGTTGGGAAGATCCCCTGGAGAAGGAAATGCAATCCACTCTAATATTCTTGCCTGGGAAATCCCATGGACAGAGGAGCCTGGTGGGCTACAGTCCATGGGGTTGCAAAAGAGTTGGACATGACTGGGCACACACTGGGTAAATACATACTATCAATCACTTTTTTTTTTTAAATTCCGCTTTTGCTCTGAATCATACAAAGTTTCCTTTTCCAGAAGTCTGGACCACATGGATCCCTTTTTTTGCCTAGTCTAAAGGTGACCTTGAGGGGACTCCTTTCCCCTTTTTACCCTGAGTCTCTCACCTCTTGGGAAGGTAAAGAAGGGGGAGTTCAAGTAAAGCCATGGTAAAGACAACAAGGGCTGAAGGAGAATTTCTCTTTAAGGTCGAAATCTTCATATACCTCCATGGTTATTCCATTAAAATATATTCTCAAGTGTGTAATTTCTGGCTCAAAGAGGATGTTGAGTGTTGGGTATTTGGAGTACAATGCTCAATCATCCTATCAAAAGGTTACATCAATTTTTAAACCTACCAGCCATGTATGGGACTGCTTGTTTCCCAATATCATCAGTGTTGGGTGGGCCCTTTAAAAAAATAACAAAGGGGGTGGTGCTGACCAGGCTCAGAGTGGCTTGAATTCAGAAAATACGATCCATCACTTCTTGTCCTTTTGGCTAAGATAAAGTGCATAAAACACGATCCAGATCCAAAGTGACATCAGGGAATTTCCTGGCAGTCCAGTGGTTAGGACTCTGTGCTTCCACTGCAGGGGGAAGTGGGTTCGATCCCTGGTTGGGGAACTAAGGTTCTGCAAGCTGCATGGTGCAGCCAAAAAATATCAGAATCATTCGAATTCTGTACCTGCATTTTTCAAATACCACAAAAGGGACAGATATCCAGACCACAGTTATACTTTAAAGTCCCTCTTTTCTTCCCAACCACACATCCTTCACACACTACAGGTGTCCCTGTTCCCCTGTCTTCAGCACCCCACCAATACCTCTCTGTTCCCCTTCTTGTGAGATTTTCCTCATCATCTTTCCTGTCACTTACCTCTAGCGTATGTGTGCACATGTGCGTGTGTGCATGTTTGTGTGTATTAAGGGGGTGACCTCTCCACCTTTCTCTATCACAAAAGCCCCAAAGAACTGCACCAACTCAGAAAGACCCTCCTCAGACGGTAGGTAGGGGACAAAACCACAGGCAAAATCCTTCAGTGGGTGGGGAGGAAAAAGCTTTAAGCATCCCATCTGGTCATGCTAAAGTGGTTGGCTGTGCGCTCCTTGAAGGCCAAGTGAGACATATTAGTTTGGTGTCCCTTACACTGGGCTTAGCACACAGTTAGGGACTTAATGTTCATTCATTGAATGTGGGAGCACTGAGAATCGATCAACTCTTGTGCTGGGGGTTGCAAAAGACATTCCACAGAGATGTTTGACCTAGGCCTGTTAACAAGATTACCTTGGGCTGCTCAGAATGACATCACTTCCTTTCAAGTGGGGGATAAGGTGGTGGAAGTTAAAGGTGAGGGAAGGTGAAGAGGAGGAGGAAATTCCACTGGATGGCTTTGTTTTCCCCCTCTATGAAAAAGGAGAGTTGGTGTATGGGATGCGGAAGAGGCAAAGATTTGGAAAAGCCAGTGTGGGGAGGTGGAGGGCTTCAGGAATGAATTAGACACTTGCTGGACCGTGGTAAAGGCTCATCTGAGGGTGAAGGAAATGATTTGTGTGTTTGATCTTTGGAGAGACTCACTCAGGTGGTTGGATTACAGTAGTGATTGGGGCTCCATCACTTAACAGGGAGAAAATGAAATGGATAAAGGGAGTGGATGGCTCCCTAACACCGATGAATGACTACACATTAGACAGTGGGGGGTGGGGTGGCAGACAGCAGTAGTAGTAGTTTTGTTTGGAGGGGGAGGGGAGCTGGAACTTGAGATTTAGAGCAAACAGGTGTGTAGATCTTGGGCCTGCACGGCTGAAGTGCGGGCAAAGTCATGGAGATGATGTTAAGGAACTGAGACCAGGCTGGCCCTGAGGATGTCCAAGTCTTCCAGAATCCAGAGTGGTTCCATGTGCCACGTGACAGCCCCCCCCCCTCCCGATTGGCTGACAGTGAAGCATAGTTGAGAAGATGGCGACTCAGCGAGAACTTCAGCGGAATAGGTCTGTACACACAGCAGGGTATACTGTGCAGGAGGGCGGTGAGGATCTTGGGGAACGCGCGGTCCTTTCCTCCAGCCTGGACGAAGACAGACAGTGTGGGACGGTGAGAGAGTCTGGGTGGTGTGCAGAAGTGGGGGTCCATCTCTGCACCAACGGAGGGGAAGAAGAGACAGGACTGTATTTCCAGACGCAGTGCACAGCAGCTGCGGACACACGAACTTACCTGGTGTCCCCTCTCTGAGCCCAGACAGTAAAGCGTCTGCCTGTTATGCGGGAAGACCTGGGTTCGATCCCTGGGTCGGGAAGATCCCTTGGAGAAGGACATGGCAACCTACTCCAGTCCTCTTGCCTGGAAAATTGCATGGATGGAAGAGCCTGGTAGGCTACAGTCCATGGGGGTCGCAAAGAGTCGGACAGGACTGAGGGACTTCACAGGTTCACTCTGAGTCCATTGGCCCAATACGAAGGCGGGCTGGAATTTGGTTGCTACCCTAAGTGAGGGAAACCGAGGACTACAGGGTGAAAATGGCGGAGGCGGGGGGGGGGGGGGGTGTTAAGCTCGGCTTTGAACGGCTAGACAAGCCGGGGCAGGGCCCTTTGGTGGCGTCGCGCGTCTCCATGACGACGCGGCGCGGCGCCCGGAAGAGGGCGGGGCTTCTGCTGCAGCCGCTGCTGGCGAGGCATCTCTGTGACGCCGGGGGCTGGGCCTAAATGGCTAAACCCGAGAGGCTCCCGGGGGGGTTTGAACTGGCCAATGGGCGAGCTGCCGACCGGGTGTCGGAAAAGGAGGCGGAAGCGGGGAGGAGTCGCCGCCGGGGCCGGACTGCATCCGCCGCGGCGTCTCCATGGCACGGCCCTGGCCTCCGACTTCAACGACTTCATAAGGCGGCGTTTCTGGGCGCAGCCGTGTCGCTCCTGGTGAGAGGCCGCCGGGAGGCGGGACCCAGGCCGCTCCGGGTTGGGGGGGCGCCCCCTTCGGGATCGCTGGGTCCCGCTGCCCAGACACCCCCCCCCCCCACCCACCCAGGCCGCCCCCCGCCTGCACGCTTGTCCCGCTCCAGTCAGAATCTGGACCAGCACCCCCTCTGCCCCGCCCACCGGCGCGGGCCTTCTCCTCCCGCTAACGGGCGGGCCTCTCCTCACCTGGCCACACCGGCAGGGCGCTCTGCCACCTCCTCCTCTGCTGCCCTCCGGCAGGGCTTCGCCCTCCTCTCTATGGGCAGAAACGGGGCCCCTCCAGCCCGCTGGTGGGTGGTCGTCCTTCCTCTCTCCGCCGACGGAGACTGGGCCCGCACCCTCTTTTGCCCCGGCCGGTGGGGCCCGCCCCGTCCGCCTCGCCCTCCCTGGAGCGCATCGGCCCGACGGTTATTTGGGCCGGGCTCCTCGTAGGCAAGCGCTGTCCTCGGGGACCGCCTCCCGACCTGGTTTAGAAGGGCCTCCCTGGTCCAGCGGGCTTCCCTCCTGGGGAATCCTGCCCCCGGCTCCCTGCCACAACCCGGCGTCGACCCCCCTCTTAACTCGGATACTAAAATCCCAGTGGCCGCCTCTGCTGCTGCGCCCTTGGAGCAATTTTTCCCTCCGCCGGCGGGGGGTGGCCCACTCGCTGCCCCCTTTGCCCCGCCCCGGCAACCTCCGCTCCTCCCTCCTTCAATTGCTGTTGGCCTTCTCGGGTGTCTATTCTGCCGGGAACGCCCCTTCTCCTAGGAGACTGTTGCCCTGGCCCCGCCCCGAATGTCCCTCCAGCTCCCAGCGCCGGTTCCGGCCCTCTGGGGCCCACTTGGGGCCTAGCGGTTTTCTCCCAACTTCCTCGTAACGCTAGCCAGCATCTCAGGTTTCCACCACCCCCGCCGCTGGTGACCACCCCACCATCCCTCTCGCTGGGGGGCCTGGGTGTGGTGGTCCATTTCCCTCGAAGTTCCGCCCCCTGTTGTCCCTCCCTAGGGAGCGGAGCTCTCGCAGCCCTTGCCCACCGGCTCGCTCAGCCTCTCTCCTGTCTTCCTCCCCACCCCACCCCACCCCAACTTTGGCAGGACAGTTGCTGCGCGACCTGGACAGTAGAGGAGCCTCTCCCAAGTTTTCATCCAACAGCCACCCCTAAAGCTTCCACCCTCCTCCCCTGAGAGGACGTTTGATGCCGGGCCCCTGAGATTCTCATTGACAAGCCCCTCTGGGTCCCCCTGAGCCACAGCCTGCTGACCCATTTGCCCACCTTTGCGGCTTTGATGCCTAACCATGTCTGCCTCATCCTCAGGCGGCTCCCCCAGGTACTGCCGTTGTGGGGGGCAGCTCTGCCAGCAGGGCAGGGGAAACGTGGGCAGGGGCTCCCAGGCGTGGCTGGCTGAAGGATTCTTTTCTCAGCTTCCCTGTTTCTGAGTACTGAAGGCCTGGGCCAAAACACTCAAAACTAATTTTTAGGAGGAAGGAGGAAAATGCACTCACATGATACCCTCCCTGCCTCCCTCTGGCCCTCTTCCCTCAGGTGCCCCTGTTACTGGTAGCAAATAGGATCACCATTGTTGTCACTGGAATACTAGGCTCAGATCTTTTTTGAAAGGAGGCTAGGTGTCGGTAAATAACCATGTAAGAGGTGGATGTCACAGTTAGCCATATGTTGATGGAATCCAGGTAGTCTGATGGAAAGCCTACTGAGAAAGAGAGCTTTCCCACATCTATTGACTTTTAAGTGTTCACAAATGATCTGAGGAGGAGAAACACCTGTCTACCCAGGTTTGGTAATTCCTTTGCTAGACGATTAGTAGGACTCTATTTATTTATTGTTTTCTTTTTTACCAAGGTGTGACATACATACAACAAAGTGTGTGCTAAAGTGCTTGAGAATTTTTCGTTGCATTTTTATGTTGCGTTTTTTTTTCCCCCAAAAAAATGGAGGGTGAGGACAAGGTCGTATTTTGGGGTCCGTCTTTTAGGCAGTGTGATGGATCACATGTACTTTCCAAGTCCCTTCCGGTCTTGGAGTTCTTGGATGTACTGCTCCCAAAATTTGGAGATTAAATATTTGCTTTATTTGCATATTTGGTGAGGGGGCCATTTATGTATAAGTAAGATGTGGTATTACAAAAATTTTTTTAAAATAATAATAACTCTACCTCTTAGGTGCTTAAAGGGTAGCAAGTGAAATATTTTAGGTAATAATCATTTTTCATCTTCTTAGTTGAATATTTGATGATCAGTTTTATGAGACTGAGTCACAGAGACTATTCCAGAGCCTATGGCTCTGTCTTTTCAGGTCGGTCGTTCCCTGAGCATTGTCCCAGGCAGTATTCTGGGCACTTTCACCCTCATCCAGGCTACTATGTTGACTGCTACCCACATGCTGTCTGCTTTTTGTCTCCTGAAAGGATGACAGCTGGGCTTTTCAGTAAAAGGTCACAATAGTGTGACACAATGGCAGGCTAAAAAGCCAGCGCTGCGAATGCTTATTGCCCCATGTTTCCATCCTCCTGCTGGGCACACCATGAGTGTTTGGTGCTCGTGTCAAGGGAGCCAAATAATTCCAGACTGGCTCTCCTAGCCGTGAACTCGTTAGCCACCATATGTAGTATATAACTTCGGGAGAGCTAAGAAATAAAAGAGCCCTAGTTTTCTGCTTATAATCTGGTTCTTGTGCCTGGGTACAGGTTTCCATCGTGTGGAAAGAACGGAGTAACGAGTCTCACGCAGAAAAAGGTCTTGAGGACACCTTGCGGCGCACCCAGTGTTACCGTGACGGTAGGTGACATGCGCTCGGAGCAGCCCCTCCACCTGCGGTCCAGCCAAAAAAAAAAACCAAAAAATGCATGCTTCTGCTGGCGCCCCGGTGGCCAGGCGCTCTGTTAAGTCCTTCATACATAGACTGTTCATGGATGGATTTGGTTTTGCCTGTGGTAAGGCTGCTGGGTGTGAGGAGGTTGTCTTAACCTAATCTTTCCAGACAAATTTCAAAAATCATGAAACAAATTTTCAAGGAAGAAAGAAGGAAAAAAAGTAAAAGAACGGGGATTGATAGGAGCTGCTGGTGGGTGAGGGGATCTGTTTGGCCCTGCTTATGTTGTCTTTAGAATCTGTACAACCTTCTCATCTCGGCATTTCTTCCAGCTTTCTGTCTTGATCGTCTTTTACCTGCCTGCTGCTTGTCGTGTCTTGCATCCTAACCCTTCTGTGTATTTCCCATGCTAACCCACATGCCCCGTTCAGAATCCGGCGTGGCGGCCCCACCCGCTTTCCAGCTGTGCTGTGCTGCATCTCAGGAGGAGCTGTGTGTTCCAGCAGGCTTGCAAAGAGATGGAGCTCTGAGGACCCCGGGGCCTTGGGTTTGGGACTCTTGTGTAGAACCCGTGGGTCGCTCAGCCCCTTTTCTTGGGCGGCCTTGGGTCTCCCCACTAGTCTTCAGTTGGCATCTCTGCATAAGCCTGCTGAACGGCACACCCGCCTCGCTTCCCGCCTGCATACCAGTAGTGCTGGTCGCTGTCCTGCTCGCTTGGTGGCTAGGCTTTCAGTGGCCCCCAGAGGCTGTGATCTCGGTTTTTATGCCCAGTTTACTCATCCGCAGATCAACCTTTTTTGTGTTGTCCTCCCCCGCCTGCCAGAAGCGAACCATGAAGGACCGCTCTTCAACTCCCCCCTTACATGTTCACGTGGATGAGAACACCCCTGTCCACGTCCACATAAAAAAACTCTCCAAATCGTCAGCGACCAACAGCCAGGTAGGAGCATGCCAGGGGGGTGAGGCCAACGCACTCACTGTCAGAGGTCGGTCGCCTGGTTGGAAGGTAGGCAGGACAGTCACCCAGAAAAGGCAGCAGTAGCCTTAGTCAGAAGAGGCTCCCCTGCAGAGTTGGAAGCGGACGCCGCTTGCAGAGTGACGCCACGGCCAGCTGTGTAGGGAAGTGACCCTGGGTTTGTCCCTTTCCACAGAAATCTCATAAGCGCGGAATGAAAGGGGACACCGTGAATGTGCGGCGGAGTGTCCGGGTGAAAACCAAGGTACCTTGGATGCCCCCTGGAAAATCATCCGCCCGGCATGTGGGATGCAATTGGGAGGTAGGCTCATTCTTGTTCAGGCTTTTCTTCTCGGACTGGTCAGGTTCTAGCAGGCCTCATGCTCGGTATGGTTCAGGGTTGGATGTAGCTCTCAGAGATGTCCCAGTGGGTCCCGCTCACTGAGTGCCTTGCTAAACCCTGAAAGTACGAGAATCTTCTCGAGTCCTTCCAACACCGTAATGTAGCTGCACCCTCTCTCCCAATGTGCAGATGAGAACCCAAGGCTCAGAGAGGTGAAGTGTCACAGAGGGAGTAGCAGAGCTGGAGGTAGGGCTCGGGGTGTCTCATTCTAGAGGTGGTACCTGTAGCCTCTCTGATTTGTATGTTAGGAGCTAATACTGCGCTAGTGTCTGAAGCAGACTTGACAAATGTATACCAGAATGTACACATCCAGGAAGGCATCTGCTCTTTCGTGGTCACCTGCATAAGAGACCATCCACTTACTCTGTAGATAGAATCAAAACCACTGGAATAGGGACTTGCCTGGTGGTGCAGTGGTTAAGACTCAGCCCTCCTAATGCACAGGGCACAGGTTCTATCCCTGATCAGGGAACTAAGATCCCACATGCCGCGTGGAGTGGCCAGAAACTTAAAAAAAATACATTGGAACAATCTCCTGAGGAATAATTGCCTTCAGTATTAGTTGCCAAGGTACCAGGAGAACTGTTGTCTCTTTTTGGCCATGCCTCAACACGTTTTGCCTGTCCGTCCATCCTTCTGTGCAGTGATTCATGCATTTCTCTAGACATTGCTGTGCACTGGCAGCTCTGCCCTCTACGCTTACATTCTGGTCCATGGCAGTGAAGAAACCCAACGATAAGGCAAGGCCTATGGCTGTGTTTTGGACCGAAGTCTCATGATTGAGACAAGTAAAGGCCTTGAGACTACAGTCGGCCCACCATATCTCCGGTTCTGCGTCTGTGGAGTCAACCATCCAGAGATAAAAAACAAAAATCCAGAAAGTTCCAAAAAGCACAACTTGAATTTGCTGTGTGACAGCAAATTACATAGCATTTCCATTGTATCAAGTATTATAAATAATCTAGAGAGAATTTAAAGTGTACAAGAGGATGCGCCTAGGTTACATGCAAATACTGCCCCATTTTACATAAGGGACTTGAGCACCCTCAGATTTCAGTATCCATGAGTCTTGGAACCAATCCCCGTGGATACCGAGGGATGACCGTATCTTAAGAGGATGATGCATGCTCTGTTTTGAAAGATTTATTCTTTTTCTGAGAGCTTATTACTTTTAAAATTAGAAATAATCGTAATTACTTTGAAGTTTGGAGTCATACTTCATGCTCTTCACTCCCTGATTCATTTAATCCTTAAGAGACAAAGGGAGTTTGGTATTCTCAGGAGTACATGACAAGTGTTCTGACATATCTCTCCAAGGAAGATTGGAATTAAAATGATTTCTAAGATTTTTCTACCATGTGTACCTCACTAGCAATCAGTGAAATGTAAATTAGAACCAACTACATTTTCGAAGAAATAGCAAGCTATCATTTTTGTTGAGTGGAAAGAAGTTGAACAGATTCAGAATATCTTCTGTTGACAAGCATATAGGGCTATCACCGAATCTCTTTAGATAGTTTTTGAGTGGATGGTTTGGCAGCATTTATCTAAACATGGATTCTGTAGTTCTGCACTTGGGAATTGATGCTCAAAAAGTCACAGAAGAGCACAGGAATCTGTGTGTAACAGGGTGTTTGCTGAAGCATTGTTTGTATTAGGGAAAAATCAGATGCCATCTAACGGAGGGTATTGGTTAAAATTAAGATGAATCCATGCAATGGAGTGGCACACAACCACTGCTCGATGGAGGCGGATGTCTCTATAAGCACCACGCGGCACCGCATGGAGAGTGTGGCCCTGTTTGTGCAGAAAAGGACATCTGTGTGTTCAGAATGTGTGTATGAATATGTATGTACAAACATCTTCTGGGAGGCAATACTAGAAGTAGTAAGCAGTGATTGCCTCCGGGTGTGGGAGGCTTTACTGCTTTATCTTTTTGTGGTCTGCCTGAATGTCTTTATCACATAATATATTTTATAGTTTAAAACACTTTCTTTTTAATTTTTAGTGAAGAGACTTAGGTAGTTTTTTGGAAATATAAATATCAAAAGTCATGCCACTGTGGAAATGGACTTCCTGTTGACATGGGTTGCTAGGAGCCATGGTCCCCTCTGGAAAGCTGAGTACCCCTTCCAGGCCTGAGGCCACAGAATTCTAGAAATGGAGGGGCCCAGAGATGTGGCCGACCATCTCTTGACCAGTAGCTGTCTCTCATGCTGTCCTCTTGGACTAGCTCCTCTCCACTTTTCAGTGGCCTCCCATATTCCCAGCAGGCCTCAGCCCATCCTTTCCATTATCGACAAGAGAGAAAAGACCTTAGGAGGAGGAAGTTTGTGGTGGAGCTGGACATGGACTCCTGTAGCTGCTATGTGATGTGGGGATTCTTGTTTGATTTTTTTTATTATTGTTTGATTTTTAAAACCTCTTCTGGTACCTAAGATACCTTTGGGAGAAAACACGTCTGGGTTTTTTTCCTCTGTTATTAAGCAAGTCATCTGTTTTTATGATGGAAAGTTGAAAATACCATAAAAGAGACAATCACTTGTAATTCCAGCACACACATCAGAAGCGTGCTGCTTGTTGACTTTTTATAAACTGTTGACTATCACCCACCTCCAAAATCAGCATCACCAGCTTCCCCAGAAGATCCTCTCTGGTCCTGTTCTTCTCGCTCCCACCCTTGAACGAAACCAGTGAAACTTACTATTTTGGCGCATTTATTATCACTTTTTCTGATGCGGAGTTTTTTCTTTTTTTAAATTATAGTCATATTATCTATATATTTTCATATTGTCCTCCTTTTATAGATTAAGAATAACTTTTTTTTCTTATAAAAGCAATGCACAGTCATTGCTGAAAAATCAGAAAATCAAAATCAGCCCAGGGAAGAAAGTAAAAAAGACCTGTAATTCTGCCACCCCGAGAAGACCCCTGTAACTTTAGGTGCCAGCTTTCCGGATCCTTTCTTGTGAATATACTCATTCTTTTGATTTTTGTAGCAGTGGGATTATATTTTACTTATTGAACAACCTTTTTTCCCTTATATTTTGACTGTATTTGCATTGTACATTATTTTTTTAAGGCCTTATTCCATTGTATGTACATTTGTGTACTGTTAAGTTTTTAACCTGTACTGTCTTCTTGTACATTTATCTGTATCCTAACCTGAATTTAAATATTGATTCACATTCTTATTCTTGATAAATTCCTCAAAATACAGTGTACTGGGATAAAGAGCACATACATTTTAAAATTGCACCCTATGTGTCTTACTTGTTTGACATAACCAGCTTGTAAAACACATCCTTTTATTCCTGATAGCCATCGTCTTGTCCTAGAAATTGGCACAGAAGTTTAACCACCTTAGCTTAAGAGAAGCAAAAAACTGCAAATAGTGAGAAATAGCAACTACTTAATGCACTGGAATAAATGTATAGAATGAGAGAGTCAAAAAGTTCAATGTATCAAATCCCCGTGGAAATGCTGGCCCCCAGATTAGAATTTCTTTTTGAAGTCTCAAAGGTCTTACTCAGCTTTACATAAACTTCTCCGAGGGGCACATGCATTTAAAAAAAGTTTTTTTTCCTATTGATATATTTAAGTAAACATTTTCCAGACACACTATTTTAACCCTAAATTAGTCTGTATGCTTTTCTAATACCATTTTCTCCATGCTAAAATAACAATGATTCATCCTGAAAACTTCATTTCTATTTTTTTTTCCAAACTTCATTTATTAATCATATAGTGTTGGGTCAAACTTCAGATCTCCACTTGTCCTTAAAATACCTGTTATAGAAGCTTTGTGTGCCTTTGCAATGATCCACTATCATGTATTCATATTCTTTTAAAAAACTTGCCATATTTCATGAGTCTACCCGAGGTGTTTGAGAGTATCTCCTGCCCCAAACTCTTGCCAGCTTTAGGAATTACTGGTTTTGCCAATTTGTTATGTCCTTCATTTTAAACTTGACACTGTTAACGCAGGCTTTTTATTTCTATATCAGAAGAGCTTCAGAAACATCATTTAAATGAGGGTAGGTAGTGAGATAACGTTCCACCAAGAAGGTTGGCGTGTCCTTTCCTCTGGGGTCCCTGTGGCTGCCCTCTAGCGGTTTTAGCTCTTCCTGCCAGTGGACAGTCGGGGCTGGTGGGACCAGTGGCTGCAGTTCTGCCTTGTGAGTGCATATATTTCTCCCTCCTCTACATCAGAATCCACCTCACTGCCTGGAGATCACGCCACCGTCTTCAGAAAAGCTTGTCTCCGTGATGCGGTTAAGTGACCTCTCTACAGAAGATGATGACTCCGGTCACTGTAAAATGAACCGTTATGATAAGAAGATTGACAGTTTAATGAACGCGGTTGGTTGTCTCAAGTCTGAGGTGAGGGAGGTAAGGGGCTGGACTGCCCAGTGTCCCGAGGCCGCTGGAGACTTGTCAGGTGGTGTCCTGGCGGACACCCCCTTCCAGCTGCCTCTGCAGGCCTCCCAGGGTTTCAGATGCCCTTGTGGAGGTAGTCAGGGCAACCTGGGATTCCTCTCCATCAAGCATTTAGCCCGGGCCTGGCCCTGACCTTGCCAGGTGCTCTGTATGGATGGCCTGGTTTGATTTTTTTTTTTGGCAACGGTAAATGAAGTCAATGGTATTATTGTCCCTGTTTTGGAGATGAAATGACTGGAACACTAGGGCCTCTTTTCTGTTTTTATGCAGAAGTTTAAAAAAAAAGCAAAGCAGTGGCCCAGAGGGGTGAAGGAAGTTTGTCCTCAGTTGCTAGGCTATGTCTTTGGGTGGGACATGGCAGGGGAATCAGAAACAACCTGGAAATCCAAGGGCCCCCAAGTACGAAGCTGGCAGAGCAGCCTTGGACTCCAGGCTGTGGCTGCTGGTGGGGCCTGTGTCCTTAGCCTCCGCTACGCCCAGGGCCCACGGGCCTCCCCGGAGAACCTGGGGCTGGTGGCTGCCTGGCAACAGGCCTGCCTTTCTCCACAGCCTGCGGGGCAGGGCCTTTCAGTGACACCTCCTCCGGGGGTGTGCCAGCTGAACCACCGTTTGTATCCTGGCTCCGTCCCCAAGCAGAAAGTCACTCAGGCGCTGCCCGCTCCCTTTCCTCAGTGACGAGATGAGAGGAACAATGACCGCCCAGGGTCTTTGGGACGGCTGACTGAGCTGTGGCCAGAGGACCCCCCTCCCGCCCCCGCCATGACACTTGAGCGCTCAGTCCAAGGTGCCCTCGGCTTGGTCCCGAGCGATGGGCCTCCAGATGTGGGGAGGGGCCGCTTCCCCTCAGTGGCCCCTGGCTGCGTGCCCCCACACAGGTCAAGATGCAGAAGGGAGAGCGCCAGATGGCCAAAAGGTTCCTGGAGGAGCGGAAGGAGGAGCTGGAGGAGGTGGCCCAAGAGCTGGCCGAGACGGAGCACGAGAACACGGTGCTGCGGCACAACATCGAGCGCATCAAGGAGGAGAAGGACTACACCATGTGAGCGGCCCTGCCCCCGGGCGCCTGCCCGCCGGGTCCCAGGGGTCAGCAAGGTCACTAATGCCCTCCTGATCCCCTGCAGAGTGCAGTGGGGGAGGGCATCGGGGAGATCTTTGTGTAAAAAAAAAACAAGAGTCCCGCAGGACAGCTAGGAGCCAGGCAGTGGGTGCGGGGGCAGAAGACCTGGTCGCAGGATCGTGTTCCGGGAAGGCCCCAAGGAGGGAGGCGTCTGTGACTGAGAAGTGAAAAAGCAGGCCAGAGCGAGGGCAGTAGGGTGGGCCAAGGGCACGGGTGCCACAGGTTCGCAAGGGCTATTGGTGCCCACTGGGAGGCATTTGCATTGAGGGTGCTTGGGAGCCACTGAAGGGTGATGGAAGCAAGGGAGCGGTGTGACCAGACGCGGGGAGAGCAGAGGGGAGAGCTCAGAAGTGGATCTGAAGATGGTGGCTAGGTGACCTTGGCAGTGGCCGGGGGCTGCGGTGACACTGGTTTCTGAGAGACAAGCAGGTGGCAGCACGTCTCCTGGTATGCAGGCCCCGCTCTGGTGACCGCATTTCCTTCCAGAAGGCCGCGCGGGCCTGAAGGGCCATCCCTGCCCCCCTCCCCCACTCCTGTGCCCTGACCAGGAGATGAGGCTCGCAGGGCATTGTGAGGCGAGCCTTGCAGCTTCAGGTGGGCAGGGCCCTGGGGGGTGGCTCACAGGGTCCTGTTCTTTCTGGCCCCAGGCTGCAGAAGAAACACCTCCAGCAGGAGAAGGAGTGCCTCATGTCCAAGCTGGTGGAGGCTGAAATGGACGGGGCTGCTGCCGCCAAACAAGTCCTGGCCCTGAAAGACACCATCGGGAAACTGAAATCGGTAAGCGGCCGCCAAAGCCGCCCAGCCCAGGGCTGGGCCCAGAGAGGGGGCACCTGCAGACTCTGGAGGGGCCTTTACGCAGTCATCGTGCTGACTTTATGACATCTTCAGGCCAGGGCAGGGCACTCTTAACTCCTCAGCCCCCCCTCCCCCTTCTCACTTCTGGGGCCTGACCCTCGAAGATGACCTTTGGTAGCTGGGGCCTCCGAGGAGATGTCATCATGGGTCTCCTGGGATCACAGTAAATCCAGGCATCTGTCTGATTCTTGCAAGTATCAGGCACCAAGTATATAGTCCAGGAAGTGCACCTCTTCCAGGAAGCCCGTCCTATCTGCGCTTGCCCACACTGAGCTCTCCAGCCCCTTTTTCTACCTGGCACTCTCAGCAGGCTCAGCTCCAGCCCATCCCTTCTGGTCTTCCTCCTGCAGCTGCCTTGCCCAGGCTTTCTGGCACCAGGGACTCCTAAGTTCCCCATGGAAATTCCCTGTGCCAGCTCTTCCATTCTCCCCCTGTGCCTGGCAAGATTGCCTCCTGTCTTCCAGGAGAAACAGATGACCTGCTCGGACATCAACACCCTAACGAGGCAGAAGGAACTTCTCCTGCAGAAGCTGAGCACATTTGAAGAGACCAACCGCACTCTGCGAGACCTGCTAAGGGAACAACACTGCAAAGAGGTGAGCGGCGGCCCCCACCCCACCCAGGCTCCCATGTGGAACCTGGGCCCTTCCAGCCCTGCAGGCTCTTGTCTGTAAAAAGAAAATATTCTTGGTGCCTGCTGACCTGAGGGGTTATCATAGGAAGATTGGCTGAAATCAATCACATGAAATGCTGGGCATCTGGTAGACAGACTGCCTTCCTTTCTGAAGTGGGCCTGGCAGTACAAGAAGGACCTTGGAAGTCAGAAGGGCAGCGAGGAGTCAGGGAGGGGTTTTAGCCCATCCCAGGGTTCGTGTGGCAAAGCAGGCAGGGGAGGAGACCTGAGTTTAGGAAGTAGGAGGCTTAATGGCTGGCAGATACATTGTATGATATCACTTTGTTTTCTTAAAAAAAAATGGTCTCTGAAATATATTTTATGTTAGCAAATGATTCTGAAAAGACTGACAGTATAAACAGCTCTCTTCCCACTTGGGTCAACCCAAAGGGTACCTGGAGTCTCCAAATGCCAGTCCTGACAAGATGGTATTTTTCTTAGATTTTGTTTGTTTGCTTGTTTAGGACTTTTTTTTTTTGGCTGCTTCGTGCAGTCTGTGGGATCCTAGACCCCTGAACGGGGGTCAAACCCATACCCCCTGTCGTGGAAATTCAGAGTCCCAATGACTGGACTGCCAGTCCTATTTTTCTTAGTTTACCATCTTTTTTTAAAAAGCAATGTCACCTTCCTTTGCTTTTATTTTAAAAATTAACGTTTAAAACAATAGTGGACCTGCTATCCAACTTTTGAAACAAAACCTTGTCCACATGACTGAATCCCTCTTGGTCTCCATTGTCAATAACCTCATCTCCCTCCCATCAGAGGGGAACTTTATCTGCGATCCGATAGTTTTTCTTTTGGGTACGCATCCTCAAGCAACGTATGGTATAGTTTAGCATGTTCTCAGACTTGACATAAATGATATTGTTCCATATGTATTCTTACTTTGCTTTTTTCAGTCAATGTTTTTATGAGATCTATCCATTTTTATCCTTGAAACCTAAGGTGGTTCATTTTCCCTGCTCTATTCCGTTTTGTGACAGTACCACAACTTATTTACTCACCCTTCCGTTGATGGAGACAGTTTTCAGTTGTTCGTGCTCACAAGCAGTGTTATTTTGCACATTCGTCTGGACTATCCTGGTGTTCTTGAGAGTTTCCAGGATATATTTCTATGACTTTTACTAGTTACAGCTAAATTATTCTCTTAAAATATTTCTGTCTCATTTCTAGTTCAGTGTTCATGGGTGGGTGATTTTTAATCTCTCTGGGCCTCGGTTTTCCCACCTATAAAATGGGAATAGCATCTTTCACATGGGGTGGTAAGAGATTTAGGGATGTTGCCTGGACAAGGTTTGTGTGTACTCCCGGCACGCGGTGGGTGCTTGGTAAATGGTGGCTGATGCTACTGCTTGTCCTGGGACTGGAGGGGCTTTCAGAAAACTTCTTCCTACCAGTTGTTTTCCCTTTTTGCCTTCTTAGCTCCTATTATAACAGCCTGGAAGCCCAGACTCTCCAGTTGGAGGTGAGGGGTCAGCTAATTTAAACTCCCACCCATAGCAGGTGTCCCCAGTTCTATCCAGGTGCTCACCTCCTCCTGCCTGTGCGGCCCTCGGGACTGCACCCCCATCTCAGTGCTTCCTGGGGAGTGCTCAGAGCGGTGGGGGCAGTGTTCCGGTTCTCGAGTCCTTTGGCTTCCGGCCCAGCTCTGCTGTTTCCGACCGTGATCTCAGGCAGCTGAATTCACTTCTCCCAGCCTCAGTCTCTTGGTCCGTGAAGTGGGCGTGGTGACAGTGCCTGGCTCCATAGGGTGGGGGATTTGCTGTGGTCACGTGCTAGTCTGTGTAGAGTCCCCCAGAGGCTCAGAGGGCGTCATGGCCTATCCTTTGGATCCCCGGTCCAGGCTTTGGTCCTGTGTTCTTTGCCTCTTGTTGCTGGAGAAACCACCGTGCTGTCTTCTTTTAGTTTCTGGGTCCCCGGGAAATTTCGGGACCAGGGAGCCCTTTTCTCTTGGCCTGTTAGGGTGAACTGAGGGACTAAAATGGAAAGAGGAGTGAACCTTCTTCTAGGGGTACTTGTTCAGGTGCCCGGGAGGAAGGATAGAGATGGTTCACAAAGACACAGCCCAGTGCGAAAGTGGGCAAGGGTGTGGGCAGACAGTCTGGGGAAGGGGAAGCCTAAATGGCTAAATAAGCATGAGAGTTATTTAATAATTCAGTAATTAGGGAAGTGTGAATTAACAGAAGGGTTCATGCTGGCAAGACTGGCAGGAGGTAAAGGCTGGCTACTGCCCGGTACTCTCACATCCTGCTTGAAAGTGTGTGAGTCAGTGCAGGCATTATGTAGGGCATGTCAGCTGTCACAAATCACAAACCTTCTGGCCCAGCCATTCTTACCCTTTGTATCAGTCCTGGAGAGACACTGTGGTATATGCTCAACATGTCTATTGCTGCAGTATTTTACAGTTGCAAAACCTGGTATTTATTGTTGCAAAACCCAGGAGCCACCTTACTGTCCAAAAGTTATGGGGAGAGGTTAAAAATACCACTGCATTTTATGGAGAAGGAAATGGCAACCCACTCCAGTATTCTTGCCTGGAAAAATCCATGGACAGAGGAGTCTGGCAGGCTGAAGTCCATGGGATTACATGACTGAGCATGTGTGCAGAGGGTGGAGGGAGATGCGTTGGTAGCAATAAACTGGTAGAACTAAAAAAAAACAAACCAAAAACACTGCATTTTAGAGACAGAAAGCAGACTAGGGGTTGGGGAATTCCCTGGTGGTCTAGTGGTTAGGCCAGAGAAGGCAATGGCAACCCACTCCAGTACTCTTGCCTGGAAAATCCCATGGACGGAGGGGCCTGGTAGGCTGCAGTCCATGGGGTCGCTACGAGTCAGACATGACTGAGCAACTTCACTTTCACTTTTCACTTTCATGTGTTGGAGAAGGAAGTGGTAACCCACTCCAGTAATCTTGCCTGGAGAATCCCAGGGACGGGGGAGCCTGGTGGGCTGCGGTCTATGGGGTCGCACAGAGTCAGACGTGACTGAAGCGACTTAGCAGCAGCAGCAGCAGCCAGTGGTTAGGACTTGGCACTTTCACTGCCGGGGCCAGGGTTCAGTCCCTGGTCAGGGAACTAAGATCCTGCAAGTCATGCGGCATGCCACCCCAGCCTACCCCTACACACTAAAAGCACAGATTGGGGGGTTCTGGGAGCAGGGAGGAAGAGAAAATGGAGACTGACTGCTTGACAGGTGCGGGTTTCTTTTTAGGTGATGAAAAAATTCTGAAAGTAGATAGTAGTGGGTCTTCCTGGTGGCTCAGACAGTAAAGAATCCTCCTGCAATGTAGGAGATCTGGGTTTGATATCTGCATTGGGAAGATCCCCTGGAGGAGGGCATGGCCACTCCAGTATTCTTGCCTGTAGAATTCCATGGACAGAGGAGCCTGGCAGGCTATATAGTCCATAGGGTCACAAAGAGTCGGACACGACTGAGCGGCTAATACTTTCACTTTTCTCTTTCAGATGGTAGTGAGTTACACAGCATTGTAAATGTACCATATGCACTGAACTTTACACTTAAAAATGGTGGCAAAGTTTGTTATATTTTACCAAATATACCAAAAACTATTGAATTGTACATTTTAAATGGATGACCGTATCTGAATTTATATCTCAATAAATGTGTTTTTTAAGAATCCAGTTATAGACAGAATTATAGTATGGTATCATTTTGGTAAAATTACACATTAATTCCTTCCCACCCCTCACCTCCCAAAAGATAGTTCTCTAGGTGTAGCTCTGTGTAAATGCAGAAAGAAAGGACGGGCAGGACAGTCACCAAACTCGCCACTGGAGGGCTGGGTTTGGAGGTGGGGAGAGGGGTTCATTAAATATTTTATGATGAGTATATAATTCATTACTTCCCTCATGAGAAATATAATTTTCAGGAAAGGAATAGGATCTAGAGGAAGTAGACATCTCAGTTTATTGGTTAACGAGTGGGCTTTTCCTGCCTTCCCTTAAAGGATTCCGACAGACTGATGGAACAACAAGGGACACTATTGAAACGGCTGGCGGAGGCGGACTCTGAGAAAGCGGTAACACACAGCGCCCCCTGCCTGCCAGAGCGGGTATAGGCGACAGCATAGAGGTGCTGAGCGGCTGCAGAAGGGCTGGAGCCCTGCTCTGATATTTTTGGGGGGTCTTAGTTTCATGATCTGTAAAAAATATGGAGGAGATATTCTCATCCCTCCTGCTCCACCGGGCTTGTCTAGCTGCTCACTTGAGAGCTTGAATCACCAAGTTGGACTCCAGCCTGAGGGATGGTGATGGTGGTGATGGATTTGTAAGCCATCAGTTTGTTCTCTGAATTTCCTTGTTTGTATTACAGTGTAGACTTCTTGACCCCAAAATTCCAGTTCTCCCAAGGAATCTCTGCCAATGCAGCATGTTCCAAAGTCTGTTCCATGGAACCCTGAGTTCCTCAAGTGTTAATGGGTATAAGAAACAAAAGAGGGGAGGAGTGATACATGGCCAAATAAATATGGGAAACTACTGACCAGCCTGAATGGCACATTCAACAAGCTGTTTAACTTCAAGACTTTCTGGAGCATTAGACGTATTAATGTCTGTTGTGAGGTTCTGAGAGAGAAAGAAATAGAGACCATGATTCCCCAGGTTTGGCCCTTGGTGCCTGGCTGAACATCACTAGGATTCAGCAGTCATGGTGATAATGCCTGAATGTGCATTCCCAGCTCGAGAGCCTTGTCAAATTATGATACATCAGTAAATGGAAATACTAAGGTGCTATATCAAAAGATACATATTTAATCACACTATGGTAAACATGGTTATATAGCAAAATATGTACTTGGCTTTTTAGTCTGTGTTAACAGTGGTTATCTCTGGGTGGGAGATTGTGGATATTCCTTAGTGTTTTTTGTGTGTGTCAGTATTTCCCACAGTTAACATTATTATTATTTTTTTCCATTTATTTTTATTAGTTGGAGGCTAATTACTTTACAACATTGCACTGGTTTTTGTCATACATTGAAATGAATTAGCCATGGATTTACATGTATTCCCCATCCCGGTCCCCCCTCCCACCTCCCTCTCCACCCCATCCCTCTGGGTCTTCCCAGTGCACCAGGCCCAAGCACTTGTCTCATGCATCCAACCTGGGCTGGTGATCTGTTTCACCCTAGATATACATGTTTCGATGCTGTTCTTTTGAAACATCCCACCCTCGCCTTCTCCCACAGAGTCCACAAGTCTGTTCTATACATCTGAGTCTCTTTTTCTGTTTTGCATATAGGGTTATTATTACCATCTTTCTAAATTCCATATATATGTGTTAGTATACTGTAATGGTCTTTATCTTTCTGGCTTACTTCGCTCTGTATAATGGGCTCCAGTTTCATTCATCTCATTAGAACTGATTCAAATGAATTCTTTTTAATGGCTGAGTAATATTCCATGGTGTATATGTACCACAGCTTCCTCATCCATTCATCTGCTGATGGGCATCTAGGTTGCTTCCATGTCCTGGCTAGTTAACATTATTTTAAATTGTTATATAAAAAAAATTGTGATACAGATGTTAGGTGCTTCCTGCTCGATCTCTGTGACATGGGCCAGTGTCTTTGGGACTTGAGCCCAGTGGCCAGGCACTCACAGGAGTCTTGTCCTCTCTGGGCTGAGCCTCCTCTCCCTTCCCAGGGAGCTCATGACAGTCTGTTCTCCCCAGCGCCTGCTATTACTGCTCCAAGACAAAGACAAGGAGGTGGAAGAGCTTCTGCAGGAAATACAATGTGAGAAGGTACAATCCCTGACAGTCGCTCCTCCGTATGGGCCGGGAGAGTGCGCTCTTCCAGCTCGTGGGTAGAGTATGCTCTGGAATTGCAGAGCTGGGTTCAAATCCTGGCTCTGTCACTTTCTCCATCTCTCCAAAGGCTCAAGCAAAGACAGCATCTGAGCTTTCCAAGTCCATGGAGACCATGCGGGGGCATTTGCAAGCACAGCTTCGGTGCAAAGAGGCGGAGAACAGTCGCCTGTGTATGCAGATCAAGGTACCGGCTTGGCCCCACCGGTGGGAAAGGGAGAGGGCGGGGCCTGGCAGTCCAGGGACCGTGGCCTGGCCAAGGCGCTCATATTCAGGATTTGCCCCCAAAGGTTTGGGGGGGCTGCTGCCAAAGCACTCTGAGCCAGTGGCAAGGGACACTCTGGGCCAGGGGCAAGAGCAGGGGTTTGGGTGTTCTTCCCAGCAGTGACCAGTGGGTGCCATGCTCCTGAGTCAGTCACGTAATCCCTTAGGCCTCCAGTTCTCCTCACTACCCATGGGATGGGTAGGGGGAAGGGGGTGGGCTGATGTCTTTGAGCCAGGGACCCTCTAAGGTCACAGCTCTGCTGAGTAACAGGAATATCTCTGACTACTGTACTGGGAGTTCAGGGAAGGATGCCAGAAGAGTTCTATCTTAACACCAAGACCCAGCGGGTTCCATAATGGGAGAGGTGCTCTGGGGAGCTGGGCAGGGCCCTCACATCTCTGGTCTGTATCGCCTCCCACACAGTTGATCTGATTTCTGTCTCCCTCATTCCTCCTTTGTGCTGCACGCCACCGCACCCTCTCCGGACTTCTTGTCTCTGCTCCACCATTGTCCCTGCCTCCCAGAACCTGGAGCGCAGCGGGAACCAGCACAAGGCAGAAGTGGAGGCCATCATGGAGCAGCTGAAGGAGCTGAAGCAGAAGGGGGAGCGAGACAAAGAGTCCTTGAAGAAAGCCATCCGAGCCCAGAAAGAGAGAGCCGAGAAGAGCGAGGAGTATGCCGAGCAGCTGCACGTGCAACTTGCCGACAAGGTGGCGGCCTCCCCGAGGAGGGCAGGCCGACGAGGAGGGGACGGGTGGGGCGGTGGATGGGCAAGGAGCGGCTGCGCAGGTGGAGGCGGAAAGCTCCAGAGAGGTGGCTGGGTGGGCAAATGGAGAGCTGGATGGCAGCTGAGGGGGTGAATGAGCTGGGAGGACGGCTGGCTGGCTGGCTGGAGGAAGAGGCAGTCAGGGAGTAAACAGCTAAAAGGATGGTGATGGGGGAGGGCGGCTGGCTGGAGACAAGTGGAGGGTTTGTGGGACATTCTAACCACATCAGTATCGCGGGTGGGAATGATGGTTATGGATTTGCAGTCAATGTGTGTGTGATGCTGGAAACTGAAAAGTAGCATCTGGCTGCTGCTTTAGTCTCAGCACTTCTAGAAAGGAATCGCAGGACTGGGGTTATCAGGGGTTATCATGTTATCAGGGTGAGGGGTGTGGCCTGGGATGGCCGTCGGCTCCCTGGGCCTCTGTGCTGACACCTGACCGACGGACCCTGTCTACTGTCCCGTTCCCAGGATCTTTATGTCGCTGAAGCTTTATCCACTCTGGAGTCATGGAGGAGCCGCTATAACCAAGTTGTAAAAGACAAGGGAGACCTTGAGCTGGAAATTATTGTCCTGAACGAGTATGTCTGTTGAGGAGAGGGCATGGGACCGATTGGAGGAGGGGGTGAGCCGGTGCGTGGTGCCAGGCATCCTGAGGCAGCTCATGTGGGTCACATGGGTGCCGTCTGGTCTCCTCTGGTCCAGGGCCGCGTTGGACTGGCCCTGAGGTAGGCCCTGGTTCCAGCCCTGTCCCAGGGTCCTAGCCCCTGGTGAGCAGTATGGACGGGCCTTCTCTGCTCATACCTGGGCCAGAGCGGGGCCCTAACCTGCACAGCAGAGAAACAGGCCCAGCCACGGTGGTATCCTCCTTCCAGTTCCTGGGGGACAAGGCAACTGGTTTCTGCCTTTGTCCTGTCTTCTCTCAGCTTCTCTTTGTCTCTGCCAGTCAGTAGGTCAGAGGTATGGCCTGGGAGTAGGGGGCAAAAGTGGCCTTAAGTTGAAGGTGACTGAACACACCTTCCTTGTCACTGGTGAACTATCAACAGTGACCATTCTCCAGCTCAGCCGTATTCATGTGTTCATTCATTTGTTTATTGAGCAACTACTATGTATCAGGCTGTGTGTTGGCCTTTAAGATTACAGCAGTTAAAAAACAAATGCATCCCCTTCCCCATGGAGTTAACCGTGTACTGCAGTAGGAGACAGGGCTACAGAGACCTGGACTCCCTGGGCTAAGGGGTCACAGGGGAGCTAACTTGGTCTCTAGGTCAGGAATGTTTTGCCTGAGGAATACCTTTGGTTGTTTTCAACTCAATTTGGCAAACATATCCTGGGAAACACACTAAATGCCGGGCCTTATGCCAGGCACTATCCTTGGGATTCTCCATCTAGTGGGAGAAAATGGATAGTTAAGGCAGAAGGATCTGAGGTACAGACAAAAGGGATCAAGGAAGACATATCCTGAGGTGGGATGTCGGAACCGGGTTTTTCAAGTTGAGCGGGAGTTTGCAGGTGAAGCAATACAATGCGTTTGCTCGGGCCTAGTCAGTACTTAGAAAACATTTGCTGAATGGCAAACTATAATTTCTCAATACTCAGAGCACATGCTGTGCAAAGGCACAGTGGTGGATCTGCAGTCAAGAGCCCCCAGGCTCCTCCGAGGCCTCAGACTCTGTTTTTGGATTAGCGCCCCTGCTAAGGGCCTCAGGGTGGGGGAAGGGGACTAGGGCGGGGAGGGGGGGTAGGGGTGGGGGGGAGCCAGGTGCCTTTGTACTGCTTTGTGGCGCCCGCCCTCACCTGAGGGAGACGGAACCCCAGTGTGATATGTGTGTGAGGGAGATGGATGCCTGGGGGTACCCCTGACCACTGAGCCTAGGAGTTCTGTGCTGACTTCAGTTCCTGATGGGCTAAGAGATCAGGAACTGCTGTGGGGAGCTGGGAAGGGACTGCATTCGTGGCCCTTGTCTTTAGGGAATGTCTCAACTTTGTGGGACGATTAGAACAGAGAAGGCTTCTTGGAGGGAGTGGTAAGGGAGGCAGACCTTAAAGACTGTTTTATGAAAGTGGGCTACCTGAGAACGCCACGGGTACCAATGCAGGGGCAGCTGCTCTTTGCAGTGGAAACTGGGAGCGGGCCGGGTACCAAGGAGAGGGACATGGGTGACCTGGAAAGGAGCCCCAGGCCCCACTCCACACAAAGACGCAGGCTGCTCACAGCCCGCGGGGTTGATTGTGTCTGCTTTCGCTTTGTGACCTTCCAGCCGGGTGACAGATCTCGTAAACCAACAACAGACCTTGGAGGAGAAGATGCGGGAAGACCGGGACAGCCTGGTGGAGAGACTACACCGGCAGACCGCCGAGTATTCCGCATTCAAGCTAGAGAACGAGAGGCTGAAGGTGGGTCGTGAGAGCCCGGCCCGGGACACTTGGGTAGAGAGCAGACGGCTGGGTACTTCTGGCTGGGCCCGGAGATGACCACTGGGGCCTCCCAAGGGCATGGAGGCAGCAGTGGGCTAAGAGGGCTTCCTCTGGAGTCGGGGAGACTGAGATTCAAGTCCTGACCAAACCTTGTAGAGCTGCAGGACCCAAACAGGATGTCTGCCACGCTGTTGCTGCAGTTTCATTAGGGGGAGGGAGTGAGGTCTGTGTGGGGGGTGAGGCAGGTGAAGTGCCCCACGTGACACTCAGCCTGTGCACGTGAGGTAGATCTGACCTTGAAGTTAACACTGATGCTCCCGGCGCACTGCTGGGATCATCCACGTGCATTCACTCTCACTGTAACCTCCCAATAATGTGATAATTACTCCACTTTCTAGAATAAGGAGACTTCTTAGAGCGAGTTTAAGTTTCTTGCCAAGGTTCTGCCCTTGGAAGTATTGGGAGTTCGGATTTGAACTTCAGTCTGACCCTGGGGCTATAACCACTAGCTTTTAACCACTCGCTCTACACCCTCCAGCAACCCTGTGGTGAGAGGCACCGAACAGAGGTTGACATTGCAGAGCCAGGCTGATCTTGCTTTTTAACCGATCTGGGCAATAATGTCTTTCTTTTTTTTTTTTTTTTTTACTGATTTTTGTTAAGTAACATAGATTTAAGGAAGTATAATACAGAAAGGTACACAAAACAGACATACTTTGTCCACCAGTCGCCCCGATGGAACCTTAAAGCCAGCCACCCTGGTGACCTCACCTAATTACAGACACCCCCTGCTAATGGAGCGGTTATCCTGACTTCTGTCACTCCAGATGAGTTGGCCCGGTTTTGAGCTCCGAGCCTGGCCCTTGTGGCTCTTCCTCGGCATTCTGTTTGTGGAAGTTATCCACATCGTGTGTGGTGGTCCATCCTTCTCTGTGCTGCGCATTTTGCCATTGCAGGAATTACACCATGACATGTTTATCCATTCTGCTGTCGATGGACGTTTGGGTGGTACAGCTTACTATACCTTGAAGTAGAAATGCTCGGTCAATAGGTGGTACATTGACCTTTGGTAGATGTCAGCAAACAGTAAAGCAGTTGTACAGATTTCCACTCTTATCAGGGTGTGTGAGAAGTTTGCTCCATGTCTCCTCAGCAACACTTGGTATTGTCCACCTTTTTCATTTTAAAAAGGTGGGAGAGCACTAGTGTGTCATTGGTTGCAGTGCAATTGTTGCATAAATGACAGACAACCCCACATCTAACAGTTAACTGGGGTGATGTTTGAAGGATTGTATGTCTGTGTGGTGAAAGACAGTGTGGCTCTTCAAAATGTTTGTAGAAGTATATTTTCCTAGACATTAATTACAAAGGTAATCATAATTACACAGGTAAAATATGATTATATTTGAAAACATCACAGAAATGTGATAGCAGAACTGAAGGTCTCTGTTAACCATAGTATGTGCATTTATTCCAGTTTTTTTACCCTGATATTAACTTGCATATTCAAACATATGCACATTCATTCATCCATCTGTTATTCTGCAGCTTGATTTTCCCACTCAACCTTATTTCATGGATATCTTTTTTTTCTTTTGCTTTCTTTCTTTTAAATGAGTGCTTATTATTTTATTGAGATACCATGACTTAATTTTGTCCCATCTGCTAAGGTGGGCATTGGGCATTGGGTTATAGAACATTTATTGATGAGAGCAGTAGTTCTCAACACACTTGTTAATTGAAGAGTTTGTTGCAAAGCACTGGATATAATATAATGCCATGCTTATTGGGAAAAATAAAATATCTACACAGCTATCAATATATGGCCATATACTAAGGAATCATGATTTGTTTTTCTGGGTTTTATCTCCATTTTCTTTAATGATAATGTGCTGTCTTTTTTCTTGTTTTTTTCTTTGTCTTGGTCATGCTACGAGGAATTCGGGATCTTAGTTTCCTAAAAATGGATCAAATCCTGGCTCCCAGGAGTCAAAGTGCTGAATCCTAACCATGGGACTGCCAAGGAATTCCCAGTAATGCATTGCTTTTGTAATAAGAACAGAAAAACATGGGAATCTCTTATTTTCATCTGTCTTCACTTGAGTGGGTCGTATCAGGAGCCCCGCCCTGGTGCCTCTCTGCAGAAACCTGCTGGCAGGGGTCGAGTAGGTGGGGCTCCCCTTTGCCAGCCTCTCGGAGTAGGAGCCAGGGATTGGTTTGGCCACCTGCTCCGGGACCTTTCCTACTGGTTGCCCACGAGCCAGTTAACCTGAACCTGGTGCCCTTCTAGGCTAGCTTCGCCCCAATGGAGGACAAGCTCAACCAGGCGCACATCGAGGTCCAGCAGCTGAAGGCATCGGTTAAGAACTACGAGGGGATGATTGACAACTACAAGAGTCAGGTAGGCCGTCCGGTGCCAGCGGCCCTGCCAGGCCAGCAGCGCCTCCTGCTGTGGAGGGAGGTTCGCCCCAAGGCCTCCCCCCAGGAAGGTGTTTTTTTTCTTTTTTCACCAAAACTTGGCTCTACCCAATGCTTTGTTGGTCCACAGGTGATGAAGACCAGACTAGAGGCTGATGAAGTGGCTGCCCAGCTGGAACGCTGTGACAAAGAGAACAAAATCCTTAAAGATGAGATGAACAAAGAGATTGAAGCGGTATTGCTCCCCGTGCTCGCCTTCTTCCCCTCCCAGTCCTGGGCCTGCAGTCTGTCCCTCCTGTCTGCCCTTGACGCTTCCGATGTGCTTCTCATCTCTTCTTTCTCTCTCCTGCTTCCTCGTTATGAATACTCTTTCTCATCCCAGTTTTCCTTCTTCGTTTTCCTAAAAAAAAAAATTTCCCCTGCTTGGAACATTCAGGTGGATTCACGTCCACAGATCTGCCAGGCCGTAGGTGTGCCTGCTGCATGCATTCTGTGTGATGTCTTTATTTTGTGCCAGCCAAAAAATTACCTCCTGTCCCCTTCCCCCCAAAAAGCATTATTCTTCTAGAGACAGCTTTGCTGTCTGAAAGCAAAGGGATCATCTTAATAGTGACCTTGGAGACAGATTGAGTCCAGGCTCAGCCAGTACCTGGCTGCATATCCTTGGACACATCACCATCCCTCTGCAGTCCTCAGGCTCCTCCTCAATACAAGGATGGGTGAAGACCAGATAGGTGATAGCTTTCCCTCTGACACAGAGCGTTGTGACTGCCTTCCTAGGAGCTTTTGGGTTACACTAGACTTGAATCCTGGCTCTGCCAGTTTCTAACTGAGTGACCTTGGGCAAATGACCCTTTGATCTTCAGAGTCCTTAGGTGGGGCCAGCAGCACCTACTGCGTGAGTTGTATCAATTCAGGGAGTAATGCCTGGGTCCTGGAGTTTGTTAAATGATCGCCATTATTCAATGAGTGAAGGAGCAGCAGGCTGCAGTCATCACATGGCCAAATGCGTCCCCCCAGAGAAGAGTTAAGATGTCTTTAGTGGCCTGCCGGGAGGCTGCACTTCTGCCCATGGGCCTTGCAGAATCCTTTCCAGGGGACTGAGTGCGGCCTTGCCCACACTCCCAAGGAGTTTGTTTGGTTGCTGCGGCCGCCAGGCCCTTCCCAACCGTGGGTTCCTCTCTCCCACTCCAGGCGCGGAGGCAGTTCCAGTCCCAGCTGGCTGACCTACAGCAGCTGCCCGATATCCTTAAGATCACAGAGGCTAAGCTGGCCGAGTGCCAGGACCAGCTGCAGGGCTATGAACGGAAGAACATTGACCTCACAGCCATCATATCAGACCTGCGCAGCCGGGTAAGGGACTGGCAGAAAGGGTCCCATGAACTGGCCCGAGCAGGGGCCCGCTTACCAAGATGAGCTGCACGCGCGCCCACCCCCCCCCACCCAAGGGAGGACCACTTCTTTTTCTTGGCTGCCGCTTTCTGAAAGGAGTGAGCTATCATCAGTGCTGTGAAATAAAAGTCTGGTGTGCCAAATGCCTTGTGTTTGCACAAAGTGATTGTAGTTATAGGAGCTGCCGGGCCCTCCTGCTCTCGCCGCTCCCCGAGTGCTCCAAGTCTCCGCCGGCCTCTGCCCTTCAACGCTCCGCTGCTGTCTTCAAGCCTCGTGCCTCCAGTGGACACCAAGCCATAGGTTTTCTTTGTCTCCGTCTTTCTCTTGCTTTAGCTGCCTTTCCCTAGTCTGACTAGACCCCTTGCCTGAGCTTCTGTCCCAACAGAGGACTGCTTTTCTCCCAGAGGCAATCTGCCTTTGGGTGCCTGGAACCAAGCCAGCGAGGTCTAAGAAATGGTACGCTGCTCATCTGCACTGTGACATTGGGTGAGACCCTTCCCTTCTCTACACCTGCTTCCTCGAAGTAACAGTGGAAGTAGCTGCCATTTTTTGAGCACATGCTCTGTGCTCCAGCATTCTCTCATTTAATTCTCCCAGGAACTTTGCGAAGGGTCTTATTTCCCCCAGTGTACAAAATGCAACCGAGGGCAGAGAGGAGGAGAAGTCATTTCCTGAGGTCACAGAGCTAATGCTTGTCAGCAGGGACTGGAAGCCAGCCAGCTCCGTCTGGTTCCCAAGCCCATGGTCTGAGTACGTTAAATCACCTGCCTACTCTTGAACCTGAGTGTTCTCAGGGCCTTTCAGGCCCGGATTTCTGAGTCTTCTGGATAACTTCTCAAACCTGCCAATCTGAAGGACTTGATAGATTTCCTGTGGCCTTTCTTGCACTGGTCCCCAGTTAAGGGGAATGACATCAGCGGTCCCACCAACGTCCTTGGTAAAGCGCGGTAGTGGGTTGCATGGACCAGTTAGGCCTGCTGTCTGCTTCTGCCTTCTCATGTCTGCCCAGATCCTACTGACTGGCCTCTCCTGAACCAGAATGTGTCATCGTGGCTCTTCAGGATCGAAGCTGGCTTCTCAGTGTGGGAGAGCCTTCGGTCTCGGGGGTCGGGCCTAACCTGTCCCCACTCTCCTCTCTCCTCCAGGTTGTACGTTGAGACTTGGATGCCTGCTGAGGGCAGCGCGCCTCTCTCCTGGGTGTGGATGACAGGTCACAGGGATAAGGGAGGGCTGTACCTGGAGGTTCTTTAGTAAACCAGTCTGTGTTCCTGTCATTTTAGATCGAACACCAGGGGGACAAGCTGGAGATGGCGAGAGAGAAACATCAGGCTTCCCAGAAGGAAAATAAACAGCTGAGTCTGAAGGTGGATGAACTGGAGAGGTTAGAGGCACTTGGTCCGATCTCTGTCCTCTTCCTAGGACCTGAGACTTTTCTGCCACTTAGCTGCTTTGGGCTCAGTGTGCAGAAATGTTTGAGGGACTCAAGGCCCTGGAAGGTACTAGGCAGACCTCAGAGGAAAAGCTGTTTTCACCGCAGTGGTAAGCATTGTGGGAGAGAGGAAGGTGGTCTCTGGCCAGGGGGGATGCTCCATGACAGTGTGATCAAGATCAGACCACCCAGTGGTGGTCCACTGGTTAAGACTCCATGCTTCCACTGCAGAGTGCCTGGGTTTGATCCCTGCTCGGGGCACTAAGATCTTACATGCTGAATAGTGTGGCCAAAAAGTAAAAAAGAAGAAAAGGATCAGCCCACCCATAGGCACCACCTATCAGAAAGGCATGCCTTATCCAAGCAAACCAGCAGTGCCAGGTGCTGCAGCGGGGACACTCCCCCGCATTCTGCTTTTTGTTCCTGGTCACCCTTCCCAAGACCTTTCTGATCTATTCCCTGTTACTTACAGACTATTGGAGGCAGTCAGGTAAAGAGTTCACATTTTGGAATCAGAATCTCTGGCCTTTGATCACAACTTGGCCACTTTACCTGCATTGTGATCTTGAGCAAATCACTTGATCCTTTTGAACCTCATCACCCTGTTTACTCAGCTTGAGAAAAGGACCAAGGTAGGGAGAACAGCCCAGTTCTTGGGGTTGTTGTGGATCTTCCCCGAGATAATCCTCAGAGGGCAAAGCGTGTTACCTGGTGTACAAAATCACGCCATATAGGATAGTCTATATGAGTTGGTATTATCTCCATTTTAGATACAAGGAAACTGAGCTTGGGGAGAGGTTAGATGACTTGCCCAAGATCACATAGCTGGTACTTGGCAAAGCTGTGATTTAGCCTGTCTTCCTCCAGAGCTTTTAGTGTTCATAAAATGAGGGCTGGAGCCCTCGTTTCAGTGATGAAAGACTTGGGGAATCCCAGGAGGCTGCAATTGGCCCAGCTGGCTCACACAGCCTGCCAGCAGGGACTTTAAGCAAGTGGTCTCCCCTGGGCCCCACCTCTACTCTGCTGGCCTCAAAGATGCAGCTGGAAAGTTTAGGACTTATAGAACTCCTGAGATTGGACGGTGTTCTGGAAGTGCAGCAGGGACCACGTGTGCACACGAGATGGTCACTGCTGCCCCATGGCTGGTCACAAATGATGTTGAGTGGTCCAGCTGAAGTCCCTTTGCTGAGGGTGGCAGCAATGAAGAAGTGGGGTGGCGGGGGGGGGGGGTGCGGGGCATGGGTTTTGGTGACAGACCTCCCAGCTGTGGTGACCTTGAGTCAATAACTTCGCCTCTCTGTGGCTCAGTTGCTTCATTTGTAAAGTGGGGATCAGAATGGAACCCGCATTCCTGAGCTGCAAGCTGCTGTGTTACATGTGATGACATACGTACGTGGCACAGCCAGCGGTCAGCCTGTGCTTGCTTCTCCCACTCTCCATACAGCTTCTTGCCGTCATGATGATCAGCAGATTTCTTTGATTTATTCCTGTTATTCCCTGGAGATTCTTGGTGTGATGTGAACCCCGGTCCAGCGTGGCTGGCAGCCCCCGGCCGTGTGGAACAGGACACATAGTTGGATGGCAGACTCTTGACTGAGTGCTTTCACCTAGGAAATTGGAGGCGACCAGTGCCCAGAATATCGAGTTCCTACAGGTGATTGCCAAGAGGGAGGAGGCAATCCACCAGTCCCAGCTGCGACTGGAGGAGAAAACACGGGAATGTGGAACCCTGGCGAGGCAGTTGGAGAGCGCCATTGAAGACGCCAGGAGGCAGGTCAGTCTCACATCTGTTGTTAAGGAGCTCTGTGTCTTTGGGCACATTGCTTAACTTCTCTGAGCCTATCTCCGCATCTGAAAAATGGGCATTTTGTAGTAGTACCTGCCCCCACAGATTCATCATAAATGATTGTAAAGCAGTTGGCACTGGATTCACAACTGCTCCTGTCTGCTGCCAGTGTGGGCCTCAGACAGGTGTCCCACATCTGAGATGGTGACTCATGGAGCGTTGGCAAAAGCCAGGTGAAGCAGGCTTGCAGAAGTTGTCTCCGTAGCTAGCTCCTGCCCTGAGGCTCCAGAAACCCCCACAGTGAGACCGGCTCGTGGGAGCGGCCCAGCCTCTTCTTTACCAGGTGTGCCCCGTATCAGGTAAGCCAGCCCCACCTCTCTGCTTTCTGGGCAGGTGGAACAAACTAAGGAGCACGCAGCCTCCAAGGAGCGCGCAGCCCAGAACAAAATCCTGGACCTTGAGACCCAGCTGAGCAGGACTAAGACTGAGCTCAGTCAGCTGCGGCGGAGCCGGGACGATGTGAGTCTTGCTGGGGGTAGGGGGTGAGAGCAGACAAGAAGGGCGTGGGTTGAGGTTTGAGCTTCCTGGGGCCTGTACGGCATGGGCATGGGCAGGCCTCGGTGTTCTGTTGTTTTTATGAATATGACATGGTTTTATTTTTCTCCCATCACTTTCCCATCCCTTCAGGATATTCCAGGCTCATCCCCTTTTTATTACCAGCTTTGTTAAAATGACATTTACATAAAACTCTCTCATTCAGATTGTACAATTCAGTGGTTTTGAGTACATTCTGAGTTGTGCAGTTATCACCACAATCCAGGTTGGGAATATTTTCAGAAAGAAAGTGACCCATTAGCAGCCACTCCCATTCCCCCTGCCCTCATCCCCTGGCCTCTGGGGTTGATCTGTTCTGGGCTTTCCACACACTTGGCCCCTGTCCTGTTCCTCCTCTCAGGCTGATCGCCGCTACCAGAGCCGTCTGCAGGACCTGAAAGACCGCCTGGAGCAGTCGGAGAGCACCAACCGCAGCATGCAGAACTATGTCCAGTTCCTCAAGTCGTCCTATGCCAATGTGTTTGGGGATGGTCCCTACACTTCCTACTTGACCAGCTCTCCCATCCGCTCCCGGTCTCCTCCTACCTAAGCCGCTGTTCTTGGGCTAGGAGCTCAGATGAATGCTGTGGCAACAGAGGTGTCGCTAAGCCATACCTGGAAAGCCTGTTGGTTTTCCTCTCTCTTCCTGAGATGAAGTATGTTCAGGATCTTGTCTTAGCCACTAACTCCAGAAAAGTGCCTCGAGCAGCAGGGGATGGAGCCGAACCCACTTAGTTCTCTCCTCTCCGATAGCATCACCTGATGGAAATTTCTAATTACCCCAACAGGCCTTAAAGCCACTACTATTAGGGTCAGGTTTTAACTCACTGTGATTGGCTCTTTCGTTTCTCAAGAGAATGTTTGGCCTGGACTTTCCCTCCAGACCCTTTTACAGCTCTCTTCTTTTTTAGGGCTCTCTCTCTCTGGTTTTCCCTGATTCAAACCAGCAGGAGCTGTTAGGCAGAGGTCCTCACCGCGCCGCATGTTCATGCGCTGGTTTCCTCATTGCATGGGTACGGTGTCCTCTCCAAGGTGCTCCCCTTCCACCTGTGGCCAAGTTTCCTCAAGGCCACTTGCCCTCACGCACTTCCCTACAGACACTCGAGGGCTTACGCTTTACAAGTTCACCTTGTAAAATTACGATCCCAATCTCACTGATTTTTCTCTTGGCTAGGTTTGTGTCTGTGGAATGCATTTATTCTTGAAATGTGTGTGTTTTACAAAAAGCTTTTATAATCAATATTTAAGGTTCCATAGGATGGTCTCCTTTAACCACATGATCCCTCTTCTAAAAATGATTCAGTGAAACACTGCAGAAGAGCCAGTAAGTGTTTTTTAAAGGACGTGGTACATGGAACATTAGACTATTTCATTTTGACTGGGTTGGCTCTTTCTCCTCTGCGTGCTTTCACTTTGCAATCCCATGAAAGGACCGGAGGAGATACATGGTAAGGTGCTGCTCGGTCTGTGAGGGCAGATGACTTTAGCTGTTAGGAGGAAGATGGGCTGTGTCTGTCTTACCATTTTTTAAATGTTCATTGCTTTCTGAAAGATGATGGGTTATTTTTGTCCTCCTCACATGTTCCTGTATTTAAAAGAACAATATATTCTTTAGAGAGAAGAGAACACACTTGGTGTTCTCTGCTGAATCCTAACCTTTTCATTCTAGATGGTATTGGCCTCTGGGTGATCCAGTCTAGTCCCCTCTCAGCCACTCTAACCCAAGTCCAAACCTCTGGAGAATTCCTCTGTGTCCCCAAAAGCAGTGGTCCCACACAGGCATCTGGATTGCACTCCCAGAACTGCACCCTTCCCCACCCCCCCAGTTTTGGAGACATTTGTAGTTTCCAGCTTTCAGTGGTTTGTTTTTGTTTGTTTTCTTCTTAAATTTTATCTTCAGCTTTTAATTTTGCCAAGGAAGGTCCCTGAAATTACTACCAACAGCTACCATTGCCACGAAACCACGCCTATTTTCACATCTTTAACATAGACTTGAACTTTCATACAATGTATGAAAGATCTTCCTAAGAAAAGATAGTTGATAAACTTACACCAATGTGCATACATTTCTGTATAACTCATCATTATCATCAAGCTAATGATAACCCCCTCAGTGCAGGATTCTGCTATCTGTGGTGATGCTGTAGGAACACCTCTCTTTGAGTTCATGGCTGGGATTCTCCCAACAATGTTCTGTTTTTCTTTGTAAAATATTGTATTACAAAAAGTCCAGAGAGTTTGTGGAAATGAAAAATGTTTATATTGCTTCAAATTCGAGAGTTTTCCTTTCTGCCTCAAAGAGACCCCATGAAATGGGCAAAAGGGTCAAAAGTTAGTGTCCTAGTTAAAGCTAGCCTTAGGCAATGATGAGCTTTTCATTTATTGAGATAGATTTAATTCACTTAAGGTATATAATTCAGTGGTTTTTAATATATTCAAAGTTGTGTGACCACCACACACAACTTTATCTAATTCTCAAATATTTTCATCACACCCAAATGGAACTTCTTCTGAGAAGCCTGTATGCACGACAAGATGTAACAGAACTGGATATGGGACAACAGACTGGTTCAAAATTGGGAAAGAAGTACATCAAGGCTATATATTGTCACACTGCTTATTTAACTTCTACACAGAGTATATCATACTAAATGCCGGGCTGGATGGTTCACAAGCTGGAATCAAGATAGCCAGGAGAAATATCAACAATCTCAGATATGCAGATGTTTATGGCAGAAAGTGAAAAGGAACTAAAGAGTCTCTTGAAGGTGAAAGAGGAGAGTGAAAAAGCTGTCTTAAAATTCAACATTGAAAAAACTAAGATCCAGCCCCATCAGTTGACGGCAAATAGATGGGGGAAAAGTTGAAACAGTGACAGGTTTTCTTTTCTTCGGCTCTAAAATCACTGAGGACCGTGACTGCAGCCATGAAATTAAAAAATGCTTGCTCTTTGGAAGAAAAGCTATGACAAACCTAGACAGCATATTAAAAAGCAGAGACATCACTTTGCCAACAAAGGTCCACCTAGTCAAAGCTATGGTTTTTCCAGTAGTCATGTATGGATGTGAGAGTTGGACTATAAAGACAGCTGAGTGCTGAAGGATTGATGCTTTTGAACTGTGGTGTTGGAGAAGACTCTTGAGAGTCCCTTGGACTGCAAGAAGATCAAGCCAGTTAATCCTAAAGGAAATCAGTCCTGAATATTCCTTGGAAAGAAAGACTGATGCTGAAAGGGAAGTTCCAGTACTTTGGCCACCCGATGCGAAGAGCCAACTCATTGGAAAGGACCCTGTTGCTGGGAAAGGTTGAGGGCAGAAGGGGGCAAGAGAGGATGAGATGGTTGGATGGCATGTAGAAGCTTAATGCCCTGACCTGGGATGGAACACAAGCCTCCACTGCAGTGGAAGGGCACAGTCTGCCAGACTGTCTTCCACAGGAGCTGCCTTATCTTAGAGTCCCACTGGTAGTGTATGACGATTCCAACATGTCCACAACCTCATCAAACCTATTCACTTTTCTGTGACCTATAACGCCCACCCAACTGAAGCCCCCCAGGTCTAAAGTCATGGCAGGAAGCAGGAGCCACAGGCCAAGTCCTGTGCGCAGGCGCATGGGTGGGCGGGCTTGGTACGAGAGGCGGGGCCGCGCAGTCGTTGGGGGCGGGGTTGGCCTGTGCGCCCCGGAAGCGGAAGGAAGGGCCTGTTTCCGGGCGGCTGATTCGAGGACTTGTTTTGTCACCAGCGGCTCATCTAAAGATCTGTAGCTGGGCAGGCCATGCCTTCTGAGGGTCGCTGCTGGGAGACTCTGCAGGCTCTGCGCAGTTCCGACAAAGGTCGCCTCTGCTACGACCGCGACTGGCTGCTGCGGGGTGAGGTGAGCAGCGGCCCCTAAGCGGCCGGCTCAGGGGCCTCTGTGCTTCCTTAGCCTTTGGCAAGCCCTCCTCCGAGGAGGCCCTGCGTTCTTTGTCACAACACGCGTCCGCTTCTTGACTCCTGTGTGTGCGTCGCCGTGTCCTAGAGTTTCTGCTGTCTCTCTCCCCACTATTTTAGCTTCTCAGGAGCTCCCCTTCAGAGATGCTCTTCTCTGAAGGCTTCACTGCTCCCCGCTGCCCAGTTAGGCTCCTCCGCTCTGGTTGTCAAAGAAGCCCTGGCCTCTCAGGGTCAGTTTATTACTGCGCGTCTCTTGTGTTAGGAGATCCAGATTGAGCGGTAAACGGTTGGTGGTGGTGGCTGTTAAGTCGCTCACTCGTGCCTGACTCTTGGCGACTGCAGTACGCCAGGCTTCCCTGTCCTTCGCTATCTTCCGGAGCTTGCTCAGACTCAAGTCCATTGAGTCAGTGATGCCGTCCAACCGTCTCATCCTCTATCGCGCGCCCTTCTCTTGCCCTGACCAAATTTTTAGATGACATCGGGCAAACCTGGAAACCTTAATGGGGGCGTGGTCACTGCACCTAAGATGTGCTAAGCCCCGTAACAGACCGCGCAGGTGGGAATGTCGAGATATTTAAGGCATAGCCTTTTCCCGAGTTGCTCTTAATCTAGCTACAGGTATGAAGTCTCTTCAAACGAAAATATATAGCACTTATAAAGCATTTCTCTGTTTGTCTTTGACAGTTTTAAAGACTATATATACCTTACACTCTATAGGATGAATTCCATCATGAGTCTGTTCATTGTCGACTCAGGTTATGCATTCTTGGCAGGGATAACGCAGAAATGATGAGGTGTTCTCAGTAACTCAAATCCGTGACACATAAATGCTTCAGCCCATCCCAGCACTGGTGATGCTAACATTTATCAGTTGATCACAATGGTATCTGCCAGATATTTCCACTTAAAATTCATCATTTTTCCCTTTGTCCCCAATTAGTATTTTGTCAAACCTCCACTCTTAGCGTTTACTGGTAACTTCGCCCTTAACCGTTTCTCTGATGTGCCCAAATGGTATTAAGAGCCAGTTTTATATCTTTATTTTTGAATTGCCAGTTTATATGTCTTAGGCTCATTTTGCACGTTTTCTTGTCGGGGTTTTGCCAGTATTTTATAAGTTCTTTATGTATTAGGGATAATAATATTACTTTATCTGAGATACATATTGCATTTTTTTTCTAGTTTGTCAGTTAAAATTTTTTTCTGTTTATGGTGTTTTTTGTGTGTGTGGTTTTATTTTTACATTTGAAGCATTGCTTCTGGAATTCATTTTGGTGTAAAGAATGAGGAGGAAGTTGTCTCAAATTCAACATCCATTCATGACAAAAACTCTTACCAAAGTGTTTATAGAAGGAACATATCTTAGCATAATAAAAGTTACTTATGACATACTCACATTTCAGCACAATACTTGATAGTTGTAAAAAGCTGAGAAACTTCCTACTAAAATCTGGAACGAGACAGGGATGCCCATTCTCACCACTTCTGTCTAATATAGTATTGTAATTCTTAGCCACAGCAGTCAGACAAGAAAAAATAAAAAGGTATCCAAATTGGAAGGGAAGAGGTAAAATTGTCATTATATACAGCTGCCATGCTACTGTATGTAAAAAAACCCTAAAGACTCCACATAAGAACTACCTGAACTGATAAATGAATTTAGCAGGGGAGCAGAATACAAGATTAACACTCAGAAATCTGTTACATTTCTTTACACTAACAATGAAATATCAGAAACGTAAAGTTAAAAAAAAAAAAAAAAAAAACCTTTTGAAATGGCATCCAAAAAGAAAGGTACTAGGATTTGTAAGATACAATTTGATGACTGTAGCTAACACAGTTGTACCATATATAAGAAAGTTAAGAGAGTACATGCTGAGAGTCCTTTTTTCTTTCTTTTATCTATGTGAGAAAATGGGCTTTCCAGGTGGCGCTAGTGGTAAAGAACCTGCCTGCCAGTGCAGGAGATGTAAGAGATGTGGGTTTGATCCCTGGGTCAGGAAGATCTGGAGGACACAGCAGCCCACTCCAGTATTCTTGTCTGGAGAATACCATGGACAGAGGAGCCTGCCAGGCTCCAGTCCATAGGGTCACAAAGAATTGCACACAACTGAACCGACGTTGCACGCGTGCACTCATGTGATAAGATGGATGTTAGCTGACCCCATTTAATCATTTTATAATCTATGTAAATCAAACCGTTATGTTTACATCTTACACTTTTATAGTGACGTATATCTGCTTTTCAATAAAAATGGAAAAAAATTGAATCTTACATAGAATTCAGTCAGCACTTTTAAATGACTAATATTCACTGAGTGTATGTGCCATCAGTCAGTTCAGTTCAGTTCAGTCGCTCGGTCATGTCTGACTCTTTGTGACCCCATGAATCGCAGCACACCAGGCCTCCCTGTCCATCACCAACTCCCGGAGTTTACTCAAACTCATGCCCATCGAGTCAGTGATGCCATCCAGCCATCTCATCTTCTGTCGTCCCCTTCTCCTCCTGCCCCCAATCCCTCCTGGCATCAGGGTCTTTTCCAATGAGTCAACTCTTCACATGACGTGGCCAAAGTACTGGAGTTTCAGCTTCAGCATCAGCCCTTCCAGTGAACACCCAGGACTGATCTCCTTTAGGATGGACTGGTTGGATCTCCTTGCAGTCCAAGGGACTCTCAAGCATCTTCTCCAACACCACAGTTCAAAAGCATCAGTTCTTTGGCACTCAGCTTTCTTCATAGTCCAACTCTCACATCCATACATGACCACTGGAAAAACCATAGCCTTGACCAGACGGACCTTTGTTGGCAAAGTAATGTCTCTGCTTTTTAATATGCTATCTAGGTTGGTCGTAACTTTCCTTCCAAGGAGTAAGCGTCTTTTAATTTCATGGCTGCAATCACCATCTGCAGTGATTTTGGAGCCCAGAAAAATAAAGTCTGACACTGTTTCCACAGTCTCCCCATCTATTTCCCATGAGGTGATGGGACCAGATGCCATGATCTTAGTTTTCTGAATGTTAAGCTTTAAGCCAACTTTTTCACTGTCCTCTATCACTTTCATCAAGAGGCTTTTTAGTTCCTCTTCACTTTCCGCCGTTGGAGAAGGAAATGGCAACCCACTCCAGTATTCTTGCCTGGAGAATCCCATGAACGGAGGAGCCTGGTGGGCTACAGTCCACAGGGTCGCAAAGAGTCGGACACGACTGAGAGACTTCACTTTCACTTGCTGCCATAAGGGTGGTGTCATCTGCATATCTGAGGTTATTAATATTTCTCCTGGCAATCTTAATTCCAGCTTGTGCTTCTTGCAGTCCAGCGTTTCTCATGATGTACTCTGCATATAAGTTAAATAAGCAGGGTGACAATATACAGCCTTGACGTACTCCTTTTCCTATTTGGGACCAGTCTGTTGTTCCATGTCCAGTTCTAACTGTTGCTTCCTGACCTGCATACAGGTCTCTCAAGAGGCAGGTCAGGTGGTCTGGTATTCCCATCTTTTTCAGAATTTTCCACAGTTTATTTGATCTAGTCGAGGGCTTTGGCATAGTCAATAAAGCAGAAATAGATGTTTTTCTGGAACTCTCTTGCTTTTTCGATGATCCAGCAGATATTGGCAATTTGATCTTTGGTTCCTCTGCCTTTTCTTTTTTTTTTTTTCTCTGCCTTTTCTAAAACCAGGTTGAACATCTGGAAGTTCACGGTTCACGTATTGCTGAAGCCTGGCTTGGAGAATTTTGAGCATTACTTACTAGCGTGTGAGATGAGTGCAATTGTGCAGTAGTTTGAGCATTCTTTGGGATTGCCTTTCTTAGGGATTGGAATGAAAACTGACCTTTTCCAGCCCTGTGGCCACTGCTGAGTTTTCCAAATTTGCTGGCTTATTGAGTGCAGCACTTTCACAGCATCATCTTTGAGGATTTGAAATAGCTCAACTGGAATTTCATCACATCCACTAGCTTTGTTCGTAGTGATGCTTTTAAGGCCCACTTGACTTCACATTCCAGGATGTCTGGCTCTAGGTGAGTGATCACACCATTGTGATTATCTGGGTCGTGAAGATCTTTTTTGTACAGTTCTCCTGTGTATTCTTGCCACCTCTTCTTAATATTTTCTGCTTCTTTTAGGTCCATACCATTTCTGTCCTTTATTGTGCCCATCTTTGCATGAAATGTTTCCTTGGTATCTCTAATTTTCTTGAAGAGATCTCTAGTCTTTCCCATTCTATTGTTTTCCTCTATTTCTTTGCATTGATCGCTGAGGAAGGCTTTCTTATTCTGGCTATTCTTTGGAACTCTGCATTCAAATGGGAATATCTTTGCTTTTCGCTTCTCTTCTTTTCACAGCTATTTGTAAGACCTCCCCAGACAACCATTTTGCCTTTTTGCATTTCTTTTCCATGGGGATGGTCTTGATCCCGGTCTCCTGTACAGTGTCACGGACTTCTGTCCATAGTTCATCAGGCTCTCTGTCTATCAGATCTAGTCCCTTAAATCTATTTCTCACTTCCACTATATAGTCATAAGGGATTTGATTTAGGTCATACTTGAATGGTCTAGTGGTTTTCCCTACTTTCTTCAGTTTAAGTCTGAATTTGGCAATAAGGAGTTCATGATCTGAGCCACAGTCAGCTTCTGGTCTTGTTTTTGCTGACTAAGTTTACTTCAAAATTCCTCATGTGTTCTTTTCCACTCCAGTGGTTTAGATTGCTTTCAGGTTTACTTTAATGACCATCTTGGTGAATTGTTCCCTTTTCTGCAGTTAGGATTGTTTAGTCCGATACTCTAAAAAGATAGCAGTCAAGATCATTATCAAGAAGTGACTGTTTCTTTTCACCTCTGATTGTTAATACAGCTACTTTGGGTCTTGGTATGTAGGTATATATTAATTTATTAGGACTTCTAGGTTTTCAATAGAGCATATAGTGGATTATAAGGACAAAATTATTTTTTGGTTGCTTAGATCAGTTAACATGCAAGTTGGACTTAACTTTTTTCTTGTCTTCTAGGATGTTTTACAAGAATGTATGTCTCTTCCCAAGCTGTCTTCTTACTCTGGATGGGTAGTAGATCATGTCCTGCCTCACATACAAAAGAACGCACCTCCCTCTGAGACGTCAGCATCCTCTGTATCTACTTCAGCCCTCGACCAACCTTCATCTGTTCCCAGATCTCCTCTCAGAAACCCTGCCTTCTCACCTGTCTCCTCAGCAACATCAAATGGAACCAAGGTAAGATTTTCACTCAGCTCAGGACAGAAGACAATGGTGTCTGCAGAGTTGAAGTGTCTACTTATAATATCATTGTCATACTACAGTGACTTTACTCTGAGAAAGTAATGATTGCTGCTTCTTCATGTAGCTATTTGTAGGAACAGTGTTTGCCACATCTTTCTATGAAGACCCAGAGGGGGAAATTCCTCTCTTAGTACCAAGAATAGTAGTTAATTTCTTGAGGAGTTAGATTGTTTTTTCTCATAAGCATTACATTGTTTAACTCTTAAGGTCTCCCTTTTTGTTGTTGCCTGCTGGAAGACTGAGAGTAAATTTTATACTTGCTCTTAGATTTACATACCTTGTCGTTGGTTCCAAATTAGTTTGTACCTTTTTGGTTCAATTTTGTTCCTGCCTTCGTTTCTCCTACTTGTTATTGTTGTTCAGTCGCTGACTTGTGTCTGACTCGGCAATCCCATGAACTGTAGCACACCAGGCTTCCCTGTCCTCCACCATCTCCTGGAGTTTGGTCAGACTCACGTCCATTGAGTTAATGCTGCCATCTAACCATCTCATCCTCTGTCACCTCCATTGAGGGCAAGAGGAGAAGGGGCAGACAGAGGATGAGATGGTTCTCCCACTTAAAAACAAATTGTTGCTGATGCTCTGCTGTGCTTTGCTCTTCTCTTTCTTCCTGTTTCCAGAGTTCCTTTGTATAAGTACAGATATACAAGAACATATGTATTTTCTTTTTGGTAATTATGTTGTTAAAATTAATCTGTTGACCACACCGTGTGGCCTGTGGGATCTTAGTTTTCTGACCATGGATCAAACACTTGCCCCTCCATCAGGAGCGCAGAGTCTTAACCACTGGGTGGTCTCGGAGAGCTTCCCATGTGTGCTGTTTTTCTTCAGTTCTGTTTGTTTGTTTCTTTTTAAACAAAGTTGCTCGAATATACTGTTGTGTATCTTGTTTGTTTTCATTGGTTTCTGTTTTTCCACTTGACAATACATGTATTCCCCATCCCGGTCCCCCCTCCCACCTCCCTCTCCACCCAATCCCTCTGGGTCTTCCCAGTGCACCAGGCCCGAGCACTTGTCTCATGCACCCAACCTGGGCTGGTGAACTGTTTCACCCTAGATAATATACGTGTTTCAATGCTGTTCTCTTGAAACATCCCACCCTCGCCTTCTCCCATCTTACAGATGATTCATTTTCTGTCTGTGTCTCTATATATCTGCCTCATTCTTATTAATATGTTTTCTGACTTTTAATTTGTGCTTGTTATAGTTTATATTCTTTATAAGCTGCATTAAATCCTTTCTGGATCGAAGTAAGATATAGGAAGTAGTATTTGGCTAAGAATATAAAGAAGAAAAGCCTTCTAAACTAAAATAATGCATTACAGCATTATTTTGCTTTTTCAAGGTTTTTGTGTCAGCAGAATAAGACTAGGCAACTCTTTAGAAAGGTAGAGATTACATTTTTCATGTTTGGGTTCCAGAAGACAAAGTCCTTTTTGTTCATACTCACTGAAAATTTTTGGTTACTGGAAACATGTTTTCATTGCATCAAAAGGAAGAAGTTTAAAAAAAAAAGGGAAAGGCCTTAGGTGTTGCGGGCCTCTAGCGCCCGCCGCTTTCCGCCGGGCCGGCGGGGCGGACGGCTCTGAGCGCGGGCTCCGCCGCCCGGCTCTCACCTTCACCTACTGCGGGCGAGCCGCTGCAGAGGGAGCGCCAGGCCCGGGCGGAGTGCGGGCTCGCGCAGCAAGTGAGCGCCGAGGTCACGAAATGGGTCCGAGTGAACCGGAGACCCCGAAAACGGAAACGAAAGGACAGAGAAGAAGTGTTTGAGAAGCTTCTTCCAGACCAGCTGGTCTTGCTTCTGGAGCATCTCTTGGAGCAGAAGACTGTGACTCCGCGAACTCTGCAAAGCCTTGAGAGGACGTACCACCTCTCGGAGCAGGATGCCGAGGTTCGCCATCGCTGGTGTGAACTCATTGTTAAGCACAAATACACAAAAGCATACAGAGATGTGGAGAGGTTCCTTCAGGAGGATCAGGCCATGGGCATCTACCTCTACGGGGAGCTGATGCTGAGTGAGGATCCGCGGCAGCAGCATCTCGCCCGCAGGTGCTTTGAGCTGAGCAGGGAGCAGATGGACAGATCCTCAGCCGAGGTGGTGGCTGAGATGTTATTTTAATGAGGAAAGATCACAGCGAGAATTTTTTTCATGCATCTGCTCGTAGCCCTGGTGGGCCCAGGCTTGCATGGACCCTGGACATGAAAGGAAGAGCGGTGGGGCTGCTGAAGCCGGCAGTCAGTGGCCGCCTGCGCCTTGTGGGATGACCTCCCCAAAGGTCCTCACTGCAGAGCTTGTGTCAAGAGGCGCACCCTCATCAGCAAGTCTCCGTGGGGCCGTGTGATGCCTTCATGCCCATCCTGGATGAACCACCTCAAGATCCTGAATGTTAATTGAGTTTCCCCTTTGAGTTAAGTCAGTTCTTCCACCCAAACACGGAAGGTCCCTGAGGCACATGGGAAAACCCACTGCACCTTCTCCACCCATCCCTTAGCGTGTGGATTTGCATTTCCGCACTCCGAGAAAGCCAGAGCTTGTCTACTAGGCCCAAGGAGCTGCTGCCCACCTACTCAGAATTAACATTGATATGTCCATTGTTTAGATTTTCTGAAGTTTTAGTAACTTTTGATAGAAGTGCAGGATAAGATTCTTTAAGATTTGTTGATAATATGATGGATTCATGGTTTTTTATTCCTTCTTCCTGTTTACTTCTGAATTTAATACTTAAAAGAGAAAAGGGTGTAGTGTCCACATTCTTGTCTCCTCCTTTTCTCACCTCCCTGGTTCCTCTAGTGTTCAACGTGGTGCTGATACTCGGGGGTGGGGGGGGGGGGGGCATGTGCCTCCTGCACCTGATAAAGGCACCGTCAGGCTTCGCCGTACGCCACGGGAACCTGTGCTAATGGTGCTTCTCTTTCCCACAAATGTTTGAAGTTAAGAATAGAAACTAAGCTTCCTGGGATTGCCCAAAGGGAAGGGTGGCCTTAAAACACCCCAGAAGCCACAGTGGTTGGTGCAGGCATGTCAGCTGAGCGGGAGTGGACCGCCGCTGCCCCCCCTCCCCCCTGCGCCATTGGCGCCTCGAGCCAGCCTGGGGGCGATGGGCAGCTCAGCACAGCCCTTCATTAGAAGCTCCTGACCTTCAGAATTATGTAACAGTGACTGTCATTTTAGAAAGTTGCCTGAGGGTTGATTCTTTGCTCTTACGTGTACTTTGCATATGTTGCTTCTGTGTGCTTTGTTTACTGTGTTGGTATAATAAACGTCTGATTTTTAAATAGGAAAAAAAAAAAAAAGGGAAGAAGTTAAATCTCCCTGTGATCTCATCGTTTCAGTCAACAGTTACTCCTTTCCAGTCTCATAAGCCTGCATCCTTATACCTTGGCATAATTAAATTGTATGCGTACTTTGGTGTTCTAATTTTCCTTCCTGACTTGACTTTGTTCACAAACTATTTGAATTATTTATGTTATTTCCACCTTTGTAAATATTTGCTTACAGGATATATAATATCCTGTAATTTATTGAACTGTTCCTTTATTATTGAGCATTTATGTTTTTCCATTTCATTGCTTTTAAAGATACTCCTCTGAAAAACTTTCTGCATAGAGATCTTTCTCTTTTTAATCTTAAAGTATGTCTTCTAGCTGTCTTAAAATAAATGCCTGTATAACAGGCATCAAAGATAAAATGGTGCAAATGTATTTTTTTAATTAGTAAAATATTCATGACATAAAATTTACCATTTAACCATTTTTAATGTCAGAATTCAATGGTATTAAGCACATTCATAGTGTTGTATAACCATCACCACTATCCATCTTCATCATCCCAAACTAAGAATACTCATTAATCAGTAACTCCTGATTTCCTCCCATCCCCAGTATCGAAAAACCATCATGAATTTGACAGTTCTACATACTTCATATAAGTGGAATCATATATGTCATTTTGTGACTTGTTTATTTCACTTAGCATACTGTCTTCAGGGGTTCATCCATGTTGTAGCATGTGTTAGAATTTCCTTCCTTTTACAGCTGAATAATACTTCGCTGTATTCATCTGTCACTGAACATTTGGATTGCTTCCACCTGTTGGCTGTTGGTGACTAGTACTGCTATGAACATGCATGTACATCTGTTAGTTTGAGTAGCTGTTTTCAGTTCTTTGGATTGTGTACCAGAAGTGGAATTGATGGATCAAGTGGTAATTCTTTTTTTTTTTTTCTTATCATGTGGTAATTCTGTGTTTAAATTTTGAGGACCTATCATATTGTTTTCCACAGCAGCTGTACCATTTTATATTCCTACTAGCAGTGCACAAGGGTTTCAGTTTCACCATACCTTTGCTAATATTTGTTATTTACTGTTGTTTTTTTTTCCCCCCACAGTAGCCATCCTAGTGGGTAAGAAGTATATCTCCTTATGGTTTTGATTTGCATTTCCCTAATGATTAGTGATGTTGTGCATATTTTCAAGTTCTTATTAGCCATTTGTATAACTTCTTTGGGGAAATGTCCTTGTGAGAGTTATTCGCAATAAGTAACAATTTATTATACAGTAAATAATAATTCTAAAAAGTAATATAGGACAGAGATGGTTATTCATATTATGAAAGACTGCATGATTCCATGCATAAGAAGTTTACTTTTTAGTTTATATTTTGCACCTCATCTTTAAAAATACTAGGCTTTAAATCTAGCAATTGAACATCATAGGTGCAAAAATGAACTTCAACCTAAACCTCGTAACTCACATAAAAATTAACTCAAAATGTAAAACTATGAGACTTCAGGAGAAAAAAACATAATCAGAACCTAGGGCCAGTTGAAGGGTTTTTAGATTTGACACTAAAAACTAAATCCATAAAAGGAAAAATTAATACATTGGACCTCATCAAATAAAAAACCTTGGAACTTTCCTGATGGTCCAGTGACTAAAACTCCTCACAGTACAGGGGGGCTGGGTTTGATCCCTGGTCAGGGAACTAGATCCCGCATGCTGCAAGACCGTGCACAGCCAAATAAATAAGTAAATATTTTTAAAAAAATTCTAAGTAGAATAATAATAAACTCATGACTGGAAGAAAATAGTTGCAAATCACATGTCTGACAAAGGTTTATATATCTGGAATATATTTTTAAAATTCTCAAAGGTTAAACAGAAACTTTCTAACCTTCAATTAGAAAATGACCAAAAGATATGAACAGACATTTTCACCTGAGGCAATATACAGATGACAAAATAGGTACACGAAAATATGTTCAATCAAAAAAAAAGAAAATATGTTCAATCATTAGCCATTAAAGGAAACGAAAATTAAAACTAGGATGAAGGCTTCCAGTGCAGGGGTCACAGGTTTGATCCCTGGTTGGAGAATTAAGATCCTATGTGGAGCAGCCAAAAGAAAAAGGATTATGTGCCATGTGGTTCCATTTATTTAAGGTTGTTGAAATACTGTCATTATAGAGTTGGAGAACAGGTAAGAGATGTAAAGATGTGGCACCAGGGATCTCTGTGGTGAATGGTTCTGCCCTTTATAATCATGGTTATACATGAGATAAAATGGCATAAAACTACACATACCCAAATGAATTCCTCTCAGAACTGGTGAAATCCAAACAAGTTATGTGACTTATACCATCAGCTTACTGTTTTTGATATTTTACTGTATTTATGAGAGATGTTACTATTTGAGGAAACTGGGTAAATAGAGAGTGCATAAGCCTCCCTCTACATTTTTTGAAACTTTCTGTGAATTATAATTATTTCAAGATTAAAAAAGAAGTTTCTGTGAGCAGCTTCTCAGAGGCAGCAGTTTCTAGTTCTGATCCTGCCAGTATTGTGGCATACCCTCAGACTGTTCCCTACAGTTTCTTCCCTCTTTCCCTCAGTTTCTTCGTCTGTAAATCTGGTACTGGACTAAATTGTTGAGGGCCTCTCCAGGTATAAAATTCCATAATTCTTAAGGTTTAAGTAAAGTTTTGGATGGCTTTATATAACAAATTGTATCATTAAGAATTTCTGGTATTTAAGTAATAGAAAACCTAGTTTAAACTAGCTTAAACAAAACAAAGGGGTCGGGAGAAATTTAATTGCTCATACAACCAGGAAGTCTAGGAATGTGGAATCAGTTAGATCTGGAGGATCTGTTTTCTGCTTGTCTCTCCTTGAATCATTTCTGACTTGATCCAGTGACTCAAACACGGGGCTTTGCTTCTCTTCTCTCAGTTCTGTGTAACTCTTCTTGATTTCATCTTTCAGATAGACTGTGTGGCAGGATGTCTGTTGATAGCCTTAGACAGATACCTTCTTAGGTTAGCGTCCCCAGGAGAAGAGAAGGCCCTCCAAAATAGCTCCATCGGAAAAGTTCAGAAGTTTGTAAAGCAGTCATCAGTCAATTAAAAATAAATAAATAAAATTATATATAAAAAAGAAAATTTCAGAGGTAGACTTTGGCTTAAGTCATAAGCCTCATTCCTGAAGTAGACACTGGGTACAGAGGGATAGAGTACTTTGATTGCTGGGCTGATCTCATGCCTACTGACCCCTGAGGCTAGGGGGCATGGATGAACTGGGGATGTGGGCTGGGGTTTCTCCGTCCAACCCACCCCAGCAAAAATGGACATTTATTAGAAAAGAAAAAATGGGGGGAAATATGGTGCGCAAATCAAAATAAAGAAACAAACAAAAAAAAACACAAAAAAACTGTCCAAAGCAAAAACACCCACTTAATTTGCTAAGGAGAACAATTAGAGTAAGGTCAATATAACGAAAAGCACCCTGGTTCTAACTTAAATTGTTTTGTTGTTATTGGTTGCTGATTGTAAGCAGGGATGTGGCTTTTGTTCAGACAGAATAACACCAACTTGACCATCTTAAAAACTTAATTTTTCTCTCTTCCGTCTATACAGGACAAACAGGAGTCTCCACATACAGAACCTATGGCACTTCAGTCCCCCCGGGGGATGAAAGTGGAAGGCTGCATCCGAATGTATGAGCTGGTGCACAGAATGAAAGGAGCAGTAAGTAACCCGAGAAGTAAGGCAGGCTTGACTTTGACTGTTGGGAGCCACATTCACATGCAATTCCTCAGGGACTAGGAATGCCCGCCATATGCTGATCATCGTGCAGTATCTACTAGTGGCTTCATTTCGTTAGGGAGATAGTTATAATGTAACAGTTACGAGTAAACTCTGTGAAGTCAAAACTGGTTTCAGGTCCTAGCTCTTCTATTTTACCTGTGAACTTAGGAAGATTACTGAGACTTTCCTGGTTTCCATTTACTTTTCCAAAATTTGAAGATGATCTGCATTGTCAGATAAAGTTATACTGAGAAGATGGACCTTAATAGCCTCTTGAGAAAAGAATAACACTATTTTAATGTTTATTTAACTTTGTTTTATTTCTTTTTTTTTAACATCTATTTTGTACTAGGGTATAGCCGGGATTAACAGTGTTTTGATACTTTCAGGTGACTTTACTTTTTTTATTAGAAAAACAATGCATGCTTTTGTAAAAATTTTTACAGAGTAGGTGAGTTTATAAAGTGAAATTCTAGCATCTACCCTCATTTGTTTATTCATGGAATCACCAAATACTTATTGAGCACTTTTTTTCTCGGTCTAGATAAAACATTGAACAAAGGAGACACAATCCATGTCCTCATAGAGTTTATTTGCTGGAGGGAGAGGCAGAAGTAAGCAAGAGAAATGAGTGAAATATAGTTAGAAGGCTATTATAGTCTGAGTAAGAGAGAACAACACTTATTGAAGCCGTCACTTTGACACTGGATGAAAAAGGATGACGGTTGCTTAGATTCAAGGATGTAGCAGTGGAGATGGTGAGAAATGGTTAGAAAGAGAGACAGAGGGTGTTTGTGTATTCAGGGTTTCTCAGCTCTGCTCTGTCAGTCATCACTTGTCCATGGACTTTCTGTCTTCCAGACCTAAGTAGAAAGTTTTTCACTGCTGATAATCTCCCTCATGTTGCAAAATAAGTTTCAGAATAGAATAGCTTAGTATCTTTTAACAGTATGTTTTGATATATCTCCATGTCAGTATATATATAGCATGTCATTCTCTTTAAAGACTGCAGAGTATTCTCTAGTATGACTTACTATATTTATTTCCCTGTTGATTTAAATTGTTTCAAATTCATTACCTAATGAACATCCTTATGCATATATCATTGCACACATAGGCAAGTATTTCCTCAGGACAAGTTCCTAAAATGGAACAAGTGTCAGAGGATATGTACACTTTACATTTTGATAGTTAAAATGTCTAATTGCCCTTAAAAGTCAAATGTGAGTACTCTTGTGAATAATAAATGAAATACCTGGTACCTTTAGATGTATAAGAAAGGGATGTTCCTAAGTGAAGATGGAGGAAAAGAATCTAGGCAGAGATAATAACTTACAGAAAGGAGTGAGATAGGAATAGCATAATAGAATAAGAATTTCTTTAGATGACCCTGAAGCCCTCATCAGAATACACAGGATGGAAATTCCCTGGCAGTCCGGTTGTTAGGACACCTTGCTTTCACTGCCGAGAACCCAGGTTTGATCCCTGGTGGGAGGGCTAAGATCCCACAAGCCACAGGGCGTGGCCAAAAAAAAAAGAACGCACAGGATGGAAACTTAAAAGTGCAGGGCTATTCGATAATATATTGGTAAAATCCTGTCCATTCTTAGCTTATGCTGGAGTGACAGGAACAGTGTGGGGCAAGTTGGAAAGGCTTTCCACAACAGCTGAATTTAAAGATCGACCCAAAGGGGACAGGTGACTCAAGCAAAAATTTTGAGAAGCAGGAAGATGATTCCATGCCCCGGAGTATCTTCGATGGGGTTGAGGCCTGATGGGAGGGCATCTCACAGGGGTAGACAAGCAGGGTATAATGGAGCTCCAGAGAGCAGGTGCTGATCCTTTGCAGGAGGGCTTGAGGCAGTGGCAGGAGGAGCAGGAGAAGAAGGTACAGGCCCTTTCTGAGATGGCATCTGAACAGCTGAAGCGGTTTGATGAACGAAAGGAACTGAAGCATCATAAAGAATTCCAGGACTTACGGGAAGTAATGGAGAAGAGGTGAGTCTCCCTGAATTACAAGGGGAATGTCGGCATGGTCAACCAGAGCTCTTTCCCAACATAAAACCCAGAGGGAAGAATCTGAGTCCTTACGTACCAAAATAAAATAGCCAGAGAAGCTTATAACCTAGAAAAAGGACCAACCTTGGAAAGATGACCAATGCAAATCAAAGAGAGGAAGCTTTTAGGAGAGGCAGAACTATTTTAGAAAGCATCCCTGACTCTTCCTCCCTCCATTTTTCTTTCAGCTCCAGAGAAGCCCTGGGGCAGCAAGAGAAGCTGAAAGCCGAGCATCGTCACAGAGCGAAGGTCAGCACCCGGGAGAACCCATGTGGGTGTTCACTGTCTGGCAGTCATAGAGGACCCAGCCCCTGTCATTGCCTCGCTATGGCTGACTTGGGGCCCATTTGTGAGAACAGGCAGTCCGCGTGGGACTGGAGGCATGTAGAAGGAGAAGTCCCAGGAGCCCCTTAAGTTGACAGCCTTTTCTGTAGATCCTCAACCTGAAGCTGCGGGAAGCGGAGCAGCAGCGCCTGAAGCAAGAGGAGCAGGAGCGGCTCCGGAAGGAAGAAGGCCAGGCCCGCCTGCGCAGCCTCTACGCCCTGCAGGAGGAGGTGCTGCACCTCAGCCAGCAGCTGGACTCCTCGGACCAGCACAGGGACCTGCTGCAGGTCGACCTGTCTGCCTTCCGGACCCGAGGCAACCAGCTCTGCGGTCTTGTTTCAGGGATCATCCGGGCCACTTCTGAGGTGAGGGGGCTTCAGGAACACACTCTCTCCTGTCTTTGAAATGAAGAGCCTTAAAAGCAAAATGGTTTTGTGATTTTAAAACATTACCTGCTTATTATCACTTGTCATCCTCTTACCTGGAGATAACCACTGTTAGCATTTATTTTTTCTCTGACAGAGTGTGTGTGTGAGATTCCCCACCCTAATTGGCCTTCTATAGATAGAAAGTTTCTTTTTTTTTTTTTAATATATATTCATTTATTTGGCTGCACCAGGTCTTTGTTACAGCATGTGGTATCTAGTTCCCTGACCAGGGATCGCACCTGGGCCCCCTGTATTGGGAGCTCAGTCTTAACCACTGGGCCAGCAGGGAAGTCCTGATAGAGAGTTTCTTACCTTAGGTTAAAAAAATATTTGTTTCGTCTAATTGCAGAACACTTTAGTTCATTAATATATACTGGACACCTGCCATGTTTATGATAAAAATTAAAACCTTACAGAAATGTATATTGCTTTTTTCAGTTAAGATGATATTTTGAAAGCATAATTACTATAATCATGACAAATACATAGCTGGCATATTGAGTGCAGCACTTTCACAGCATCATCTTACAGGATTTGAAATAGCTCAACTGGAATTCCATCACCTCCACTAGCTTTGTTCATAGTGATGCTTCCTAAGGCACATTTGACTTCACATTCCAGGATGGTTATTTCATTAGAGGTGGTAAATTTTAAGTTTTTTTTTATCATTTTTCCATATTTTTTAGCTAGAATTCTACTACAAAGAAAATTTCCCCATAAACTATCTTAAGTACAGTCTATATAGGGAAGGAAGGATAAATATTTGAGTCTTTCCTTTGATCAGTTTTCAGAGTATAGAGTTGCTTTCCTAGCATTTTCCCACAGTGACTTGAGGTTTTGTTTTGTTTTTTTTACTATCATTAAGAACATATGAACTTTATATAATTGATGTATAATATGTCATCTATTATAGTTTGTTATTCAAATTGTGTAATGGGAACACCTTCACGTTGGCTTCTCTGTCCCTTGGACATGGGACAGTCGTAGTTGTTGCAGCAGAAAGCAAGCAAGCTGTTTTCTACTTCATCTTGAACATTTTCTTCTCCAGACCTAAAATTGGGTGTTTCTTCATGAAGCCTTATCACTTATTAGTGGGAAAAGGTAGTAGAAAACACAGGCTGGTTCCCAGTGTTGGTGAGAGCATTGGAAGGTCTACCCTTCGGTACTGTGAATGTGGTGGTAAATCAGTATTACCTTTAAGAGAACAGGAAAACAGTAGGTATCAACATGCTGACCGTGGGTACTCCCTTGGCACAATTCCAGTTTAGAAATACATGGACTTGAGTGAGGTATAATTCAGCACCTCAGGTGCTCAGGAAATAACCACTGAGCTCTGCCTCTGTCACCGTGACAGAATGGCTTTCCCACAGCAGAGGACCAAGCTGCGGCTGAGGGAGCACTACAGGAGATGCGCGACCTCCTCTCAAACTTGCGTCAGGAGATCTCCAGGGCCTGTGAGGAGAAGAGGAGGCAGGATGAAGAGGAAGCCCGGATAAAGCAGCAAGCGGCACAGATGCAGCAGAGGCCGGAGGCCCACAAAGAGTCTCCCGTTCCCAACCAGGGCCCAGGGGCGAAACCAAACGAAGGTGGGTCTTGGTGTGGAAATGGTCCTTTAACATGATGTGTAATTCAGAATGTGAAAAGAAGTGAGAACATGTTTTGAATACTATATTAAGCTACAGGACAATTTATCAGAACTTTTACATAATGTAAGATTCGGTACTTTTAATGATTTCCATTCAGTTTTGATTGATGTGGAGCCTGGCTTCAGATTCCAACACTTGCCATGAAGACTTGAAATTCTCCATAATCCTAGTAGATATATTATTCCACATATTGCTGTTACTGAGTATTTTATTTTGTTTTATTGAGTATTTTAAATAAGTGTGTACAGAATATATGTTTAAACACAAGGGAATCGATACAGCATAATGGTTGAGAATACTGCTTTTGGAGTCAGATCCGTGGGAATCTAGTTTTTCTATTTCCTGGCATTGTATCTTTGCAGAATTACCTAACCTTTCCATGCCTGTTTCCTTATCTATAAAATGACGATGATAGAATGCACTTTATAGGCTTATTATGACAGTGAAAGCAGTTAACACATATGTAATTAGAACAGTACCTGACTCATATTAAATGTTCAATCAATTCTACTTAAGTTGATTAGAATAGTACCTAGCTCATATTAAGTGTTCAATAAATTCTCCTTTTATGGAAGTATCTTTCTTTCATTCCTCAGACCTCCAGGTGAAGGTGCAAGACAGTACAATGCAGTGGTACCAGCAGCTGCAGGAGGCCTCCAGTCGGTGTGTGCTGGCCTTTGAGGGCCTGAGCAACAGCAAAGACAGTCAGGTAGGAGGGACAGGAGTTGGGCATTCTCTGGGCCTGATGGTGCCCCCCCCCCCACAGCCTCATGTCCCCAAGAAACGTAGCTCGCCTGTCACATCACCTCCCTAATCCTAATGGCATCTACTCAGCTCTTCAAAACGCTGTTGGCCTTCTCGCTGCTTTCCTCTGGCAGGCCAAAAAGATCAAGATGGACCTCCAGAAGGCTGCCACGATCCCAGTGAGCCAGATCTCTACCATTGCAGGTTGGTCAGAGAGTTAAGAACGTGGCCCTTCACCTCATTGTACCAGTGTTTATTGAGATTCCAAATCCACTTGTCTGTAAGGTTCCTATAAATAGATTATGTCTGAGCAAATGTTGACTGTTGGATCAGATGTATAAACTATGTGCCTTATCTGGTTTACTCTCTGAGTGTAGAAGGTAATCATTATGTGTTGACTCTTTTTTCTTTTTAAATAAGTTATGTATTAGTAGTAAATTATTTAGGAAGACTCTTAGCTACGATTGGAAGTTACTGCGGAAAGCATCCCTTAGGGAGCCTAGGATGTAACTTGCATTCTTTGCTTTTGTCCTACAACGTTAGCTTTTCCAGACTTGAAACCTGCTTATTAATACATGAGAATGCTGAGAATGCCTACCTTTTTTCTCCAGAGACTGAGATTTAGAGAGGAAGAACCACACGGAGACCGCTCTTCTTTAGAAACAGAGGTTCATTTCCACAGAGCTCAGGTGTGGAAGCCTCCACAGTATAGACTGTGCTGCCAAGTGGCTGGGGAGCTTGTGCAGCTGGGAAGCTGCTCTGACTTAACCTCCATCCAGGTTCCCTTGATTAACTTGTTACCCAGAAAGTGTGGGAAGTTGCACTTCCTGCCTTTGAGAGGCTCTGTGACTGAACTTACATATCACTTTGCTGTCTGAAATTCCTTCTGGAACAAAGCAAGGTCTAAATAAATAAATATGTATCACTTTCTAGAATTGAAAGTGCCATTTCCTTTAATAGCCATGGCAGTGAGGGGAAAGGTTGACCAGACAGTTGTCCCACACCTTCCCTGGTCTCCTCAGGTTTGTCCTTGGTCTTTACCCCTCAGTTGACCACCCCTGCCTCCTCTTTTATCTGGAAAACTGAGACCTCAGGTGTAAAATCCTCAGGTTCACCCCTCGACCCCCCAACCCACCCACTGCAGTAGAACACAGCTCTGTTTACCTGCTTTGAAACCATCCTGTTTCAAAGAATGCAGTGCTCTTCCAGCCCACACTTCCCCTTCCGCCTTGGCCCTGAACAAGCCTCGGGAAACTCATCCCCTCCTATCTCCCTCAAGAGACAGCTCTTCCCGTTTTCAACAAAATAACTTTCTTTACAAGCTCCTTTCCCTTTAAACATGCTTGTCGCTCACATTCTAAAACCTGTTTCTTTTGATTTTGTGTTTTCTCAGTCTTTTCTAATCTTCATGTTACCCTTTGGCCCTGTTTATTATTCCCGTCTCTATCTCTTCTAGTCCTCTGGCTTCTGAGGCAACATTAATCTCCAGCTTCTCCTCCTCCCCCCTCTCTCTCTCTTTTGTGGGTTCCTCAGTCTCCTGCTTCCACCTGGGTGGTAGGTGTGTCCTGGGGATGCTTTCACCCTGCGGTTCTCATTCTGAGACCCGCCCTGGCGTCAGACTTCACCTCTGCACACATGACACCCAGCTGAGTCTCTGGGTCATTCCTTTCCGCTGAGCTTCAGGTTACCTTGCTCCAGCTACCCGAAGGGCAGCTCTGCCTAGATATGTCTCAGCTTCCTCAGGTTTAGCATGTTCCAAGCTGACCTCTCATCGTCCTCCTCTTGCCCACCTTTTTTCCTGTTTGCTCTCAGTAACCAGTACTAGCACCTTATCTACTCAGTCACCTTAACTGAACCCGAGAGTCATCCCCATGACTGCCTCCTCTAGTTCACTGTCTGTACCTGATTAGGCTCTAGTTTTGCTGTTCTTGACTTTCCCACCTGTTTCACAGCTGTGTCCCTGTGTTCCCATCATTATCGTAAGCTCTATGAGAGCTTACAGCCCGGTCAGACACAGACATTCTGCAGAGTTAGTGCTCAGGAAGTGTGGAATGACTGAGAAAGAGGTGACCTAATTCCTGCCTCTTTAGAGGTGCATGTCCATGAGTAGTTAAATGTGGAGCAGAATTTAAAGACAGATATGGTGCCATTGTGGCAGGCGGGAGGCCATGTCAGGCACCGGGCTGGGATCTGATTTTCCTAATTGGAGGGGCTCAGGGAGAGGGGCTGGATGGGGATTTGGCCAGTGGGGCCCTCTGAAACCTTCAGTAAAGATATAGTTGGGTTATGGGTTGGCAGGAATGTGAGCTGAGTAAATTTGTATGGAAACATACATATTTTAATGTATCAGGTTAGAGTCTCTGCTTCTGTTTTCAGGGGATTATTAGCCTTGAAATTTCTATGACATCTCATTTAACTCTTCGTTTCTTCCTTTTTTTCTTAATTCCTAAGAAATGTGCCACCCCTCTTCCCTGTTTTTTCAATGAAACTGAATCAGTGGTCTGGGGAGGATATTTCTGAGATTTTTTAAACATTTCTTAAAATGATTAGGAACTTGGTGCAGGGTATTAGGAACTTGGCAAGTAAATTAGAGATGCTGTATTCATTCAAACAGTGATTTTAAATAATGGAAACTAATTAAGATCTGCTTAAGCCAAAAAAAAAAAGGAAAGGAAGGAGAAATAGGTAGAGTAAGGGGTTTGTCCTAAAGATAAATCAGTTTCCTATGGCAGCAGTGGAGCTGCATCTCGGAAGCCAGAAATGTTATGACCCTTTTCTCTCTTCTCTTAGGCTTCCCTCTGCCCACCTTCATTCTCCTTCTGTAGATGGCTGTTCTTTGGTCCACGTGACAGTGACAGCACCACTGCTTACATGTGTGTGTGTGTCACAGGACTGGCCACTTCAGGGAACTGACTCAGTCAGCTCGCTGATTAGCTTAGCTTCACTTGTTCTGATCTAACTAGCCAGTGTGGAAGGTGGGGCACACAGGATCTGTAATATGAATGTAATAATAGCTTCTGTGGAGGAAGGTGGGTCCAAGAGAAGGAGGGGAAGCCACTGTGAATTGGAGATTCTTTAGAAGGTTTTCCCTGGAGTTACAAGTGACTCCTTTATGGACATCAGCCACACCCGTTGCATCTAGAACAATTCAACACCTGTTTCTATACTATTCATCTCTCTGATGTGTCAGTTTCAGAATTAGTTCATTCTACCAATGATAAATTCCTTCAAAATAATACCACACCCTATGTACTTTCGCATCCTCCACAACATGCATTTGATTGTCATATATTTTTCTGCATCTGTATTTTGGCTTTAGGCTGTGAACTTCTGTAGGGCTGGGTTTATACAGAGGCTTTGTTATTGCAGTGATGAAAAAAATAGATTGACTACAGTTGTATCTTATCACTGACTCTATCTCTGTCATACCCAGGCTCGAAGCTGAAGGAAATCTTTGACAAGATCCACAGCTTACTTTCTGGAAAACCTGTTCAGTCTGGCGGGCACTCTGTGTCTGTCACACTTAACCCACAGGGCCTAGACTTTGTCCAATACAAACTGGCAGAGAAATTTGTGGTGAGAAACCTTATTGCCAAAGATATGGGAAGAGGCTGGTGCCTAACCTTTAAGCCTTTCTCAAGTATTAACTTAAAATCTCCCCCTCTCTGTGCTCCCAGAAACAAGGGGAGGAGGAAGTGGCCTCCCATCACGAAGCAGCGTTCCCCATCGCGGTTGTGGCATCCGGGATCTGGGAGCTCCACCCCAGAGTAGGGGACCTCATCCTGGCTCACCTGCACAAGAAGTGTCCTTACTCTGTTCCTTTCTATCCAGCATTCAAAGAGGGAATGGCTTTGGAAGACTACCAGAGGTGAAGTGTTGTTCTCCTTACTGTCCCCAGGTGATGAGTGGAAGAGAGAGCGAGAGAATTGAGATTCATTTCCCCAGAGCATCTCTTATGTACCTTGAACATTCTGTCAGAGAATACAGTGTCTTTCATGCAAACTGGGTGGCTTTTAGGATTTGTGGATTTAGGTATCAATAATCAATATAGTACAGCGGAAAGAATTCTGGATTTAGAATCCAGGGATCTTAGAATTTTACCCTTGTTTTGACTATTAATAGATTTTCAAAAATGGGGAGTTTTTTCACCTCTTTAAAGATTTTTTTTCATTGTTTGTAAATGGGGATAATAATAATCATTACCTTCTGGGAATTTACCTCTCAAGGTTTATATGTTGCAGATTTGATAATGGATGTGAGTGTTTTGTAAGCAAAATTACATCTTACCAATGTAGTCATGTGTAATAATGTATTAGTAATAATGCTAAATGTAATGGTATGTTGTTATTTTTAGCCATAAAAAAAAAATAGTAATGGATCGGTCACCCTCACTTTGACTCTATCACATTGAATTTTTTCTTACCACATAGGATGCTTGGCTACCAAGTGAAGGATTCCAAAGTAGAGCAGCAGGACAACTTTCTAAAGCGCATGTCTGGGATGATCCGTCTCTATGCCGCCATCATCCAGCTCCGGTGGCCATATGGAAACCGACAAGAGGTAGCAGAGAAAGGTTACTGTGGATAATGAGCAGTTGGACCAGGGTCCATATTATTATATCTTACCTGAAGGAAATATCGACCTTTCAGAGAACAGTCCCATCATGTGATAAGTTAAAGAATAGTGCTGCTTTGTAGGTATTCTTTAGAGAAGTGGGTATTGATTATTAGGAAACTTTTGGATCATCAGAGTCATTTGTTCAGAGACTAATTGGTGCCTTAGAGACCAATTATATACCAAGGTTACATACCTTACTTCACAGAGGAGCAGACGGAGGCTTAGCAAGTTGTAATGATACACACTTGTCAGAGCCACAGCAGAGGGCCAGGGCTTTGACCTGCCTGCCTAGTTCATTTTGCAAGGAATGGAGATTAGAGAGATGGAGAAGTTAGTGGGCTTGGAAACCCAAAGAGAAAGGAATATAAGCTGATTGAGTCTAGGAACTTGTTACTGTGCACCTGCTGTGTCCCAGGTATTGTGCTAAAGGTACCAGGAATAATTAATAAAATGTCAATAATAAAGATAACTGTTTATAAGAGTAACTAGAATTCCTGAAACTGAGGCTGACAGCTGTGTGTTGAAGGAATCCAATAAAGAATGTGTGGGTCCCAGTGTGTTGCAATATTTAAAAACAGAATTTGTTCGGCCTCTGTTATTTCTGCCCTGTGGCATGTGCTTAGGTTAGGTGATCAGGGGGTTCATGTTCCCTTGGTAATGACTGAGTGATAACGTTGGCAATTTAGACCTCTTAATAAAATGAGATTAAATCCTGACCAAGCCTCTCTGCTCCCAGACTCACCCTCATGGCTTAAATCATGGTTGGCGCTGGTTGGCACAGATCTTAAACATGGAGCCCCTGTCAGACGTGACGGCCACCCTCCTCTTTGACTTCTTAGAGGTACGTAGTACAATTATCACACGAGAGAGCACCAGTGGGCCGCTGTGTGACATGACGAATAGACAAATAGAGACTAACGGTGAACACCATTAGGGGCCAGTGTTAGAAATTTTTTCCCAAGCCCCAAGAGAAAGCTAGCTTTTGATTTTTCTTCCCAGTGTACTTTCCTTCTCTCTGTGGATGTCTTGTCATTATAAAGAACAGAAAACTACATCCCAGTACAAGTGAAAAGGAATTTGCTTTAGGGATATAGAAGTGACTCACTCAGAGAATGGAGGGTAGGATGCACAGTTGAACCTCATCAGGGCCTGGAACCAGGAACTGGAATGTCACCAGGGACCAAGGCAGCCTCTCTCTGGGACCTCATGGTCTTTTCATGTTTGCTCTTCCTGCAGGTTGCCTCCTACTTGCTCTGTAGGCCAACTTTCTCTGCTTCTCGGTACACAGTGGAGAAGATGCTCCTGGGCTGTATCCCTCAGCCTGTGTGGTCACCCAATGTAGTGGGACTACTGTCCCATCAGTGGGACTGCTAATAGATAGGAGAGAAAATAAGATTAACCAGCTTAGGTCAGGTACCTGTCTCATCTAGAAGGCTGTGTACAGTCCTATCTGCCTATAAGGGGCCCCCACTATAGGGTAAGAATAAGGGTTTCTGTGAAAATGAGACAGTTCTTAAAGAATAAATGCTTGGAGCACATGCCGTAACAAATCTGAGACCACTTGGCCCATAATGCCAACAGTTTCTACTCACCTGACAGCTCCTGCAGTCACAGTAAATGAACATTGATCCCGAGTCATTGAAAACACGTGGTATTCCTTCTACCTTGATTACCAAGGTTGGGCAGTAATGCTATTCCTTTAAAATCAATAGTAAATTAAGTTTGAGTCACGACCTCTGAAACACCTGGCTGCCTGGCGGTCTGGTTAAATGGAGGTATTGCCGTATGTGAGAATGCTTCAGAAGAAAGGTGGATTTTAATTCCCTTGCTTAGCTGGCTGAATGGCATTGTGGCTGAAATTCTTGATAGGAATGCGAGGCAAAGGGCTGATTATCCTTAATGACTGAGTGTCCATTTTCATTCCCTGCTCTGATGGTGCGCACCTTCCCCTCTAGGTGTGTGGGAATGCCCTCATGAAGCAGTACCAGGTCCAGTTCTGGAAGATGATACTTCTCATCAAAGAGGACTACTTCCCCAGGTATTAGACTTGTTAGGTAGACACCAGAGAATTTGGTAGGTGAAAACTCATGAAATCAGATGCCCGTGGCTGCTGTCACATGCTGTTTCTTTTTTTAAAAAATTTATTGTATTTTCTTTATTTGTTTGGCTGCGCTGAATCTTTGTTGCTGTGCTCAGGCCTTCTCTAGTTGTTCTGAGCGGGGTCTCTCCTTTATTGTGGTGTGCAGGTTTCTCGAGGAGATGGCTTCTTTTGTCGTGGAGCACCAGCTCTAAGGGCATGAGCTCAGCTGCTCTGCAGTATGTGGAATCTTTCCAGGTCAGGGATCAAACCCCTGTCCCTACAGTGGCAGGCAGACTCTTATCCATTCTACCACCAAGGAAGTTCAGATATTGTTTCTTGACTCAATCAGAAGCACTTGTGTTGAGTGAGACATCAAAAAAAAAAAAAATTAGGAAGATCTTGGATTCAGATCCCATTTAAAACTCTCTTGTTTTTCAGACTCCCCCAGATTATCTGGGATGGTGACAACATGCAGTCATGAAGAAAGCCAAGGAGTCTAACCCCCTCAGTAAATCAGTTGGTGAATCTGACTGATCAGCCAGTTTGCTTGACTCTTTTGGGGGATTCAACTTCAAGGCCCTTTCTCATCCTTCTCAACTCACTGAAGGGAGAAAGGCATTGGCAACACCCATCTTAACTGATGACAGAGACCTTGGGAAGGAATAGTGCTCTCTTCTTTACCCCCTTGTCTGAAATACAGTGCTGAGACCATTTAGTAGAGTGACAGCATCCTAAGTCTAGAAGATATCTCTGGGAATCATGCGTTCTGCCACTTCCTCCAGATCAGCAGGTCCCTAACCCCTCTCCAAAAGATATGTGTGAACCATAGGTACTGTTTTCTTTCTCTCCTTGTAGGATTGAAGCCATCACAAGCTCAGGGCAGATGGGTTCCTTCATACGCCTCAAGCAGTTCTTGGAGGTAAGGTGCCCTTAGACCAGCATATCCCAAACTTGTCAGCCTCCAGGGTCTGTGTCTGACAAGGCTTGGGCCTCCCCTCCAGACTGACTGCAGTCTCTTAACCTTGATTTTTCTGAACCCTAGTTTTTTTTTTGCCATGCTGTGTGGCTTGTAGGATCTTCATTCCCTGACCAGGGATTGAACCCAGACCCTCGGCAATGACAGCATGGAGTCCTAACCTCTAGGCTACCAGGAAATGCACCGCCCCCCCCCTTACTTTTTGTACATCATTCCCTCTTCACCTTAAGGGTGCCATTTCATTATTTTCCTGTGTGTCATTGTCCATATTGCCTGTGCAGAATAAAATATATGTAAAATATATTTAATGAATCTTAGCTCACTGATACTTTTTTTTGCATTTTGTCCAAGGTTCTTTTCTCAGTCTCAGATCTAGGGAACTGGTCACTTTTCTTCATGAGAACAGACTGTACTTTGAGTTAGACTCCTTTCCTTTTTCCATGTGCCAAAAAAGTTTAAGAGGTAAATTCTGACAAATCATTGAGAACTCTGTGGTACATCTACCAAGACAGCCCGTTGACTTCAAGTTTCCAGTAGCTCAGTTGGAGAAATAGCAGTAGGGGACGGTGAGGCCAGGTTGTGGAGATGAGGGTGGGATAGACATAAGGATAACCTGACCTTTGTCCTCCACTACAGTTGATGCAGAAGTAGAAGTCTTATACACAGCCTTTTCCTTTTAAACTAATTTTTATTGGAGTGTAGTTAATTTATAATGTTGTGTTAGTTTCTGTTGCATAGCAGAATGAATCAGTTATACATATATCCACTCTTTTTTAGATTCTTTTCCCATATAGGTCATTACACAGTATTGAGTAGAGTTCCATGTGCTATACAGAAGGTTCTTATTATCTATTTCATATATAGTAGTGTGTATATGGGAGAAGGCAATGGCACCCCACTCCAGTACTCTTGCCTGGAAAATCCCATGGATGGAGGAGGCTGGTAAGCTGCAGTCCATGGGGTTGCTACGAATCAGACACAACTGAGTGACTTCACTTTCCCTTTTCACTTTCATGCATTGGAGAAGGAACTGGCAACCCACTCCAGTGTTCTTGCCTGGAGAATCCCAGGGACGGGGAGCCTGGCGGGCTGCTGTCCCTAGGGTCGCACAGAGTCGGACGCGACTGAAGTGATGCAGCAGCAGTGTGTATATGTCAGTCCCAATCTCCCAATTTATCCCCTTCCCCTTTCCCCCTTGGTAACCACAGTTTTCTACATCTGTGACTCTAATTTCCATTTTGTAATCAGTTCATTTGCAACATTTTTTTAGATTCCACATATAAGTAATATAATTATCTTCGTCTGACTTACTTCCGTCAGTATGACAATCTCTAGATCCATTCATGTTGCTGTAAATGGCATGATTTTGTTCTTTTTAATGGCTAATATTCCACTATGTATTATGTACCACATCCTTCTTCAACTGTCAAGTGTTGGAAGCAGTGTTATCAGAGACTCATTTGGTTTTCTTTGTCTTTGCCTGGCCAGAAATGTCTGCAGCACAGGGAGATTCCTGTCCCTAAGGGCTTCCTGACTTCCTCCTTCTGGCGTTCCTGATATAACTCCAGCACCCACCATCACCGTTTTGTTGCAGAGGGGCAATAATAAAGCAACTGAAGACAGCTGTACATGGGAAAAGTCGTGTCAATATGTGGTTTGTGTATTTGTATCTTGTGACTAAGAGAGATTTCTGTGGGCCACAAATCTAAAAGGTCCCTTAATAGGTCTGGTGACTCCTTAAAGAGGTCTGCACAACAGAGTAAACAAAATTGGCCTTTCTCATTTTTATGGAAAAAAAAAAAATTATGAGAATAAAAGGTTAATGCTTGATCTTACCCTTTATTTCCTTTGTCTCTTAAGTGTCTTTCAGAAATTAGGTTAATACCTTGACTGTTTCACTCTGAGCTGAGGTGACCCACTGCTTTTACTCCCCTACACCCAACCCCTTCCTGCATGCTGCCCCTTTTCAGAATTTCTGGAATGAACAAAGACTTGAGGTCCCTTTTAAAGCAGCACTTAATAGTTGAGGCCCAAATCTTCACATGCAGGCCTGGGTTATTGTTGTTTTGCCTTAGTTAGCTTGTGAAGTATTTATAAATTCAGAAGAAATGCCTGATGTAGACATGGACTAAGTCCCAAATTGCATCAGAGATAGCTTAGTGTCTGGGATTAGGACTGTTAAAACATGTTATACTGAACCACGAAGAACTATTTATCCTCTTACTTTGGAATTTGGTTCCTGGATGACTCGGGATGCACGAACCAAACTTTGTTTCTCAGTTTGAATTAAGATGGGCTGAGATGGGGCTTGCAGCATTGTACTTGAGCTGAGCATCTGTAAGCAATGAATCAGGGCCTTATAATTCTTTACATGTTCTGAGCAATGGATGACAGATTTGCCTGACTAAAGCCACTACAAAAATCCGGAGTCTGGCTGTTCAGATAAGAGTGGAGATTTGCTCTATGAAAAGACTCCTTCATTCTGCAGAGGCGGCGGCCATGAATCTGTTCCTCTGTTCTAAATGTTGTATGTGTGGGTGTGTTTGTGAGGGGGTTCCCTGGTAATCTTGAACAGCTTGAAGCGACCCATTCTGTGAATTACTGACTATGGTGCCAAAATAGAAATAATAAAGCTTGGTTTTTAAAAACGCCCATTGCTGTATCCAGTTGGTTCAGTATGATCACTTTTGTGTACCTGGAGGTGTGTAAATCATTAGGGGTATGGTGGTATCTGAGTCTGGGTATAGAGTAGTATGTTTTTTCCTTTTTTTGGCCTTCTTGACCTTCACCTTGGGAAAACTGCTTTTTTCTGGTTTTGGAATTATATGCCGATAACTGACCCTGTTTTATCCAGCAGATGGGAAAGTATTTTTTGATATGGGCACAATACTAGGAAAGGAGTCGGGAGACTTGGACTCAATTCACTGTTATGTCCGTGACCTTGAGTAGGTCATTCACTTTCTCTGAACCTCAGTATCCCTACCTGCGAAGCACAAGAATTGGGACCAGTCACCAGATGAATAGTTTTCAAATTGTGCTTCATAGCTGTGCCTTAGGGCAGAGCCTTCCTGTGTGTCCGGGCATATGGATCTCACGGCCACTTGCACTTGCTTTCTACCTATGCTTGACAACTGGCAGTTTACTGTGCATAATGACAGAACAACTTAGGAGCCACTGACTTCAGGGTGTTGAGGGAATAGGACTGAGCATATGGAGGCTTTGTGTAAATTTTTAAGACTTTCCTTCAAGATTCTACTGCCATCTGCTGGAAAAATGTCCTATTAATAACTATGAAAGTCAATACCAGGAGGTGAGCAGTGCCTCTTAATGGAGTTAAGCAACTCACATTTGTACAGTCTTTAGTGGAACTAATGGGCCCACATGGAACTCTGGGGTTCTCTCCGCCACAGCATTCTTGCTTTATGTGCTATATATATTGGAGTTCTTTGGAAGATTATACACAACAAAGCTTTGCTCTGCCAAAAATGAAATTATGAAAGGTCACTGGACAAAATGATCAGTTAAGTTCTTTTCCACTTTAAATTTGTACCACTCCGTAGAAAACACCTCTTACAGTATTTGAATCTTCTTTCTCTAGACATGTTTAACAGCCTTGCAAGTGTCATTTGATGCTGGTATTCCTGTTGGGTTCTTGATGGTAAACCAAGAAAGGAGAGCATCAGGGAGGCCAGGTTTTTGATGCTCACTGATAGCGTTGCCTCCAGAGGTAGAGATTGCTAGCTGATAGCAGCAACTTCTGGTGGGTAGTCGCATCAGATTCCTTCGAGTTAGAACACCCAGGACTGCATTCTGTTTTTAAATTCAAGTACTCACTTGCCTGCTTGCTTCCTTTCAAGTTTGACCTCATTTCTTAGGCTGAGTGCCTGTATTTTTGTCTTATCATTGTCCTACGTCATTTTAAAGCAAATTTGATGGCGAACTGAAAATTCCAATGGCAGAGAAACCCAGAACATGCCTTGGTTAGAAGAATGGAGCTGTTCTGGAGACTGCCCACCCAGACTGCAGGCTTTCTCCCACTTGTCCAGCTTCCTGTGCTGACGGCAGTGACATGATTAGATTTGGATCTCTTCTACCTCTGCCAGGAAAAGCAAAAGAGCCACAGAGCTTCACACAGGTGCCTTATCAGGCCTGGCCATTCATTTCCCTATTCTCTGTGCCACCGAATGAATCCCTGTGCATTCATTCAGTTTCCTGTGGACCTGCAGAAAGCAGATGAGAGCTATGGTCTCCCAGAAGCACCCATTATAGAAGAATTCATCATCTCATTTACAACCAGTCTCCACTTAAAAAAAAAAAAAGTCAGGCTCTACAGATGATGTATTCGAGAAATGTTTTCCTTTTATCTTCTTCAGGATGTTTATACTAAGTACAGTACATGGTCCTGGATTAGAACCTGGTTCAGAAAATGATCTGTGTGTTTGTCTTGTACAGGACGTGGGGACAACTGGCAAAACTTGAATAGAATCTATACGTTAGATAATAGTATTATGTTGAGATCTAGCTGGCAGTCCAGTGGTTAAGACTCTGTGCTTCCCCTGCAGTGGTTGCAAGTTCAATCCCTGGTCGGGGAACTAAGATCCTGCATGCCTCATAGTGCAGGGAAAAAAAAATAGTATTATGTCAATGTTAATTTCCTGACTTTGTTCATTGTATTGTGGTTATAATAATGAAAGTACTTGTTCTTAAAGTACTTGTGGGTAAGTAGACATGATGTCCTCCATTTATTCTCAAGTAAATTCAGGTGGAAAATATATATCTACACATATGTGTAAGAATAATAGAGCAAGTGTGGTCGAATGTTAACACATTGATAAATCTGGGTGAAAGTGTATGGGATTTCTTTCTATTGTAACTTTTCTACAAAGTTGAAATTATTTCAAAATTAAAAGATAACCCTCAGGGTTTCCCTGGTGGTAAAGAATCTGCCTGCCAATGCAGGAGGTGCAAGAGACATGGGTTCGATCCCTGGATGGGGAAGGTCCCCCGGAGTAGGAAGTGGAAACCTGCTCCAGTATACTTGCCTGGAAAACTCCACAGACAGAGGAACCTCGTGGGCTACAGTCCATGCTGTTGTAAAGAGTCAGAGATGACTGCGCAACCGAGCACATTAAAGTCCGGCAGCCACAACTACTGAGACCACCTGCCATAACTACTGAAGCCTGTGTGTCCTAGAGCCTATGCTCTACAACAAGAGAAGTCACCACAATGAGAAACCCGTGTGCCTCAACTAGAGAGTAGCCCCCACTCCCCACAACCAGAGAAAGCCATGCACAGCAGCGAAAACCCAGAACAGCCAAAAATAAATTTTAAAAAAGTTAAAGATCATCCTCTCCCCTCCTTAAAAACAACAAAAAATTAGGCCTACAATTCTGATGAGGTGACAAATTCAACCCTGAAAACAGGATGGTGATACCAAAGGTGACGGTGAAGTCATCAACCTATACCACCGATGGAAAGTTGAGTCTTAAATCAGATTTTGCAAATGCTTCCTTCTTAAACTGAAATAGGTGACATGGTGGGTAGAGTTTTAATTCAACAGAGAATGATTTATGTACTTGCAGTGCTTGATGGTTTGAGCTAAAAGTGACAAGAGCATTGAAGATAGTTCCATTTCATTTAGGGCAGCTTTTTCCAGGAAGTTTTTCTGGAGGATCCTAAAAAAGAGTTTGGAAGTCAACAAAGTTCGGCAGCTACTGTGTTGAAGGTAAACTAGGTGAAGTACTGGATGAGATAAGAATGGTAGGAGGTTGATGCTGGTTGAAGCTGGGTGATAGGCAGATGGAAGTTCACTGTACTATTACAATTCCTGGGTTTATCTTTGAAATCTGGGTCTCAGGAAAGAAGGACATTCTAGTTTAAGGGGGAAATTATGAGCAAAAGTGTGACATTGGAAAAATAAATAGAAGCAGCTAAGTTCAGGTCTGGAGAAGAGTATTAGGAAATTTTGCTGTGGAAAGGTACATTGGCACGTGTCTGTGGAGGCTCCAGAATATTAAAATAGTTTGGGTGATTCTATAGGCAGTGGGAAGCTACTAGAATTTCTGAGAAGGTTTCATATAGTTTATGAAATGAATTCTGTGTGTTCAGGATGAAGAGGAAGGAGAGAGACAATCATGGGACTTAAAAGGTCCCATGAGGGACTTCCCTTGGTGGCCCAGTGGTTAAGATTGAGTTTCCAATGCAGAGGGCACAGGTTCAATCCCTGGTGAGGGAACTATCCCACATGACTTGCAATATGGCCAAAAAGTAAAAAAAAAAAAAAAAAATATCCCATGAGAGTACTTCTGAGGAATAAACAAACTGGATCAGGAATATGTGCCAGGGAGGGAGGGATTCACCTCTCTGCTTTCTCCTACCATCCTGTTAACCAAGCCAACCTGTCAAGTCCATGCTCCCAGCAACTATCAGTCCTCTTCTCTAATCTGGCCCCTGATTAAAGAGGAAGTCATCATAGAATAAGGTAACATTAACAGTTTAAAATTTAACATGAAATTTACAGTGTAAACCTGTGTGTGTGTGTATGTGTAAACCATTTTCAAGTGTACAATTCTGTGTATCAGGCACACTCAGACTGTTGTGTTAACCATCAACACCATCCATCTCCAGAATTTTCTCATCTTGCAAAAGCCACTCTGCCCCTTGCTCCCCATTCTTCCCTGCCCACAGCTCTGGCAACCCCTGCTCTGTCTCTATGAATTTCACTGTTCCAGAGTTCTTCGGTAAGTGGAATCTTACAGTATTTGTCCTTTCGTGTCTGGTTTCTTCCACTTAGCAGAATGTCTTTAAGGTTCTTCCTTCCAGTCACTGTTTTGAAGAGTTGTGCTGTTCCTTGCCAGCTCTGACACTGCAGAATCTCATCTGGGAAGAATACAGTCCACTTGCCAGTGTGACTTTCCACTCAGCTCCCTTCTTGCGGGGAAAAAGAGTAGTGCTTGCCTGTTAATTTTCCCCTGTGTGTGTGTGCGTGTGTGTGTTTGAGAGAGAGAGAGAGAGAGAGAGAGAGAGAGAGAGAGAGAGAGAGAGAAGAGATTCCCCAGGGAACATGGGCAGGTAACTTCCCATGGCCAAAGTAAGTGAAAATGTCTGTCCTTACAGGCTTCCCTGGTGGCTCAGTGGTACAGAATCCACCTGTCAATGCAGGAGACAAGGGTTCTATCCCTGAGCCAGGAAGATCCCACATGCTGCGGAGCAACTAAGTGTGCCCCACTGTGCACCAGCTATTGGGCCTGTGCTCTAGAGTCTGGGTCTAAGTGACAGTCGCTCAGTTGTGTCCGGCTCTTTGCGACCCCATGGACTATACAGTCCATGGAATTCTCCAGGCCAAAATACTGGAGTGGGTAGTTGTTCCCTTCTCCAGGGGATTGTCCCAACCTAGGGACTGAACCCAGAACCCACATTGCAGATTCTTTACCAACTAAGCCACCAGGGAAGCCCAAGAATACTGGAGTAGGTAGCCTATCCCTTCTCCAAAGGATCTTCCCAAACCAGGAATTGAACCGAGGTCTCCTGCATTGCATTGTGTATAACCTCAGATACACAGATGACACCATCCTTATGGCAGAAAGCAAAGAAGGACTGAAGAGCCTCTTGTTGAAAGTGAAAGGGGAGAGTGAAAAGTTGGCTTAAAACTCAACGCTCAGAAAACTAAGATCATGGCATCCAGTCCCATCACTTCATGGCAAATAGATGGGGAAACAATGGAAAAAATGAGAGACTTTATTTTGGGGGGCTCCAAACTCACTGCAGATGGTGACTGCAGCCATGAAATTAAAAGGACGCTTGCTCCTTGGAAGAAAAGCTATGACCAACCTAGACAGCATATTAAAAAACCAGAGACATTACTTTGCCAACAAAGGTCCATCTAGTCAAAGCTATGGTTTTTCCAGTAGTCATGTATGGATATGAGAGTTGGATTATAAAGCTGAGCACCAAAGAATTGATTCTTTTTAACTGTGGTGTTGGAGAAGACTCTTGAGAGTCCCTTGGACTGCAAGGAGATCCAACCAGTCCATCTTAAAAGGAAATCAGTCCTGAACATTCATTGGAAGGACTGATGCTGAAGCTGAAACTCCAATACTTTGGCCACCTGATGCAAAAAACTGACTCATTGGAAAAGACCCTGATGCTGGCAAAGATTGAAGGTGGGAGAAGAAGGGGACGACAGGGCATGAGATGGTTGGATGGCATCACTGACGTGATGGACACTAGTTTGAGTAGACTCTGGGAGTTGGTGATGGATAGGGAGGCCTGGTGTGCTGCAGTCTACAGGGTCGCGAAGAGTTGGACACGACTGAGTGACTGAACTGAACTCCTGCATTGTAGGCAGATTTTTTACCAGCTGAGCTACCAGAGAAGGCCCTTGTGCTAGAGCCACAATTAAATGCTGAGTTTTTGTTGCCACGTGGGCTTTTCTCTAGTTGTGGCAAACAGGGGCTACTCTCTAGTTGCAGTGTGTGGGCTTCCCTTTGCAGTGACTTTTCTTTATGTGGAGCACAGGCTCTAGGGCACACGAGCTTCAGTAATTGTGGCACATGGGCTCATTAGTTGTGGCTCCTGGGTTCTAGTACATAGGCTCAAAAGTTGTGGCCCACTAGCTTAGTTGCTCCATGGCATGTGAGACCTGATCAGGGTATTTAACCTGTCTCCTGCATTGGCAGGCGGATTCTCTACCACTGAGCCATCAGGGAAACCCCTAAAATAAAATTATCTTTAAAAAAAAGATCATTACAGTTAGTGTGTTTCCCAATAGTTGACCTCTTAAATGACATGAAAAGGTTTTGAGACTATGTAAATGCCTAAGGGCACATATCAGTTCAGTTCAGTTGCTCAGTCATGTCCGACTCTTTACGACCCCATGTGCCAGGCTTCCCTGTCCATCACCAACTCCCAGAGCTTACTCAAACTCAAGTCCATCGAGTCAGTGATGCCACCCAACCATCTTATCCTCTGTCGTCCCCTTCTCCTCCCACCTTCAATCTTTCCCAGCATCAGGGTCTTTTCCAATGAGTCAGTTCTTCGCATCAGGTGGCCAAAGTATTGGAGCTTCAGCTTCAGCATCAGTCCTTCCAATGAATGTTCAGGACTGATTTCCTTTAGTATGGACTGGTTGGATCTCCTTGCAGTCCAGGGGACTCTCAAGAGTCTTCTCCAACACCACAGTTCAAAAGCATCAAAAGGGCACATATCAAACCTTCCTAAAACTGCTAGAATAGAAAAAGGAGCTTGGAGGAGTGCCCCGGTGGCAAAGTGGTTAGGATACTGGGCTTTTACTTCTGTGGCCCGGGGTCAATCCCTGGTTCCTGGTTGTGGAACTGAGATCCCACAAGTTGTGCAGTGCAGTCCAAAAAAAAGAAAAAAGAAAGAAAAAGGAGTTTGGATTTGGTCATCCCCCACTCTCCTCTCACTGACTTTTCAAGAGGCTGGGATGGACATGACTGGATTGGTTACAGAGCTGCTGTGCTGTTTTATTTTTGTTCTGAATGAGCGTCTCTCAGGAAACAAAGAGGGCCAGTATCTGCTTTATCATCTCCCTCCCCACACCTAGCAGAGTGTTAGGCATGTGGGGAAACTGGTGGGAGGTGAGGGAGGCAGACAATAGAACATGGGCTTTTTCAACTTCTTTCCAGAGCTTCTTTCCAGATGCCGACCAGGGCAGATGAGTGGGTGGGCCCTGCACAGGGCTGGAGAGAATGGGTTTTGGCCACCACTCAGATCAGACAAAGGATCAATGAGAAAGATTTTCATTTCTGTATCAAGCTCTCTCAAGGTCTCAAATCTGTTTTGCATCTGGTAAATGCAGCCAAACCCCCATCACTAAGAAGCCAGAATGATTTAAAAGAAAAATCCTTCCTTTTTTTTTTTTTTTTTTTTACAGCTTCTGTCTACGGCCTTGAGATTCGTTCTTTGCTGGAGCAGGAGGTCTGGGGAATTTTGGAGAACCATGATTGTGTTAGCCATTTTGCACTCAGACTTGAGTACTCAATTAAACATTTTGCTGCTACCCACTGGAGGAAAGGCCTTGGACGCCATCAGCTGTTTCCAGAAATGCACACCCCAGGGAGGAGTTACCCAGGCCTGTTTTCTCGGCATGGAGGATTGCAGGAAATGCCTCTCAGCCTCCTACGTTTTTCCTCCAGATTCTGTAAAGCCGCTTTTGGGGTGTGGCCACTCCTTTTCTTTTCTCTGCACTCTGGGGGAGTGAGGGAATAGGGGAGTTTTTCTTCATGATCAGGGCTCAAGCCAGAGTAGCTTAGAAACTTGATTGCAAATCCCAGTTACTAAGGGAAGAAGCCAAAACTACTGAGGACCAAGAAGGTCAGGGTTGGGCCCTGGGCCCAAGTCCTGGTGCAGTGCCTTCTGCCTTTATATTTATTTAAAGGGGACGGTGCTTGGTAACCAGTAAGAGGAGGCCTTCCTGAGCTACGGAGCTCCTGGTCTGCCTGACTGCACAGGAATGATCTGGGTGTTACTCTCTGTGGCTGAGGCCCAGCTGTCGCCAGGAATGGGGGTGGGGAAAAGGCTTCCTAATCGAGGGCTTCTAGCTACAGATCCAGGCCCTTAAACGGCTAAGACCCCCTTAAACGGCTAAGACCCCCTTAAACGGCTAAGACCATAAGGAAGAGAAATTCCAGAAACCCTCTCCTTCTCTTTTCGGCATCCTAGCATCCACCATCACGATGCCTCCCTTTCCTATGGCAAAGCACACTGTTTAAGAAGGTTCTGACTGCCCAGATTCAAATCCGTGCTTTCCTCTTCCTAGCTGCCTGACCCAGGACAAGAGACCCAGCTTCCATATCAGAGTGCTTTTTTGTAAAATGAGGAAATAATACTTGAATCATAAAATTATTGCAAAAAGATTTTTCAAAAAGGTAACACACTTGAAATGTTCAGCATAGTGCCTGGTACATGAAGGAAAGTCAATTGTGGCAAGAGTTGTCTTATTCGTAAAATAGAACTCATGCATCCTATTCTACTGGCGAACTGTTAAAAAGCTCTTGACGTAAGAATATAAAAAGTCATTAACATCTCAGAATGACCGACATAAACTGCATCCTTGCCCCAACCTCATCAGAGAGAAAGCTGACCTGAGTCCCGGGCACAAGCCTTCTCCTAGGGAAAGGGCACAGGAAGAAGAGAAGCACACAGTGATCTCACCCTTTGGGACTGGGTGTTTTTCCGGCTGGGGCGCGCAGCATCCCCAGGCCGACTGCAGCAATGGCCCTGCCCCGCCCTTCACTGCAGTCCTGGAAGGGCTCCCAGGGGCGGAGGGGTGGAGGTGCAGAAGATTTTCTGCAGGGCAGGGAGGGGCAGGTCTGGAGGTTGCTAGCTGCGGGGAGGGCGGTGCGGCTGGAGCTTCTCCACCAGCCAGGGCGGAGGCAGCAACCTCCACTGCACCATCAACCCCCACCCGTGGCGCGCGCGCTCCTTGCCCATCCTCCCGCCGCCCTGCATTGCCGCTTCGGCTCCGTCCGGGAGAGCTCGGCCCTTTCCGCCGGGTGATCGGGCGCCGAGCAGGCGGGAGCTCCGCCCCCTTTGCTCCTCCGGCGCTGCCCGCCCCCCGCCCCTCGCGCAGGGCCGAGGCGCTTCCCCCGCGCTCGCGCCCGCCCGCCGCCGGAACGCGCGCGGCCGCCTATAAAAGGGGCGGGGCGCGCGCGTCGCCGCCACTACCCGCTGCGGAAGGGAACGGCGAGGAGCGGAGGCCGCCGAGCCCCGTCAGTTCCCTCAGCACCCCCGCCCCCGGCCCGACGCACCCACTGCCCTCACCCCCAGGAGCCGGTGAGAGAGGGGAGCGAGCGAACTCGGGGCGGGAGCGGGGCCCGAGGGCGGCCGACCCCTGAGGGGGGAGCCGGGCAGCCCCTGAGGCGGGGCGGGGCCGGCGCGCGGACAGGTGAGCCTGGCAGGCCCCGCCGCTCTCTCAAGTATGGGGCGGGGAGCCGGGCGAGCCGGCCGCGACCGGCTGGTGGTGCGTGGGCTGCGGAGGAACCTCGGGGCCGAGTCTGGGCGCCGGCCGCTGGAATGTCATTGACTGGGCGGAGGGGGCGGCGAGGCCGCCGAGTCCCTCCCCCCCGCACCTCACCCCACCCCGGCCCCGCAAGCCTGACTGCGGCCCCGCCCGGCCCCATCCGGCAGCCGCAGGTGGGGCCGGGGCTGTGTGGCCCCGATCGTTTCGTTTCTCCCATCTTCCGTCAGAATGCTCCCCGCCCGCCCCCGACCACCGCCCCCAGTCCCTTCCCTTGGTGGGGAGCGACTTCTGCAGCTCCTTTTCCCAGCTCTCCGCCAGCAATGCCTACCCAGCCCTGGATGGAGGAAAAGCTGGGAGTAAAGGGCTCTTTGACCTTAATTTCATCCTCTGTGGCGGTTCTTTGGCCTTCTGTGGACGCGGAAGGGTCCAGGACTGGCCATCTCCGTTTCTTTCCTGTAATAAACATATCTTCCTTCCCCAACTGTGATTTGCGTGTAGATAGCAGGAAAATGCGGCGCTTGATTTTGTATGAGACCCAAATCAAATAACTTAATAGCTTTAAGAGTTCTCCGCCCCCCCCCCCCCCCGCCGCCCTTGCCGAGAGAGTCGAGGACAAGATATTATTTGTATAAAATTCTGCAGCCTTGCCCGTGTTGAATGACAGAGCAGCCTTTTGTTTGACAGAGGTCCCTGCGAATTTGGTTTAAACGCTTCCCAAAGAAAATTGCTTTGAAAAGTCTCTCTGATGTACTCGGATAGAATGTATTTTAAACAAAGGGCTTGTTAAAGTTAAGGGTTGAATGTGTTTTAAATTAAAAGCTTAAGTGTCTCAGAAAGCTGGGTTGAGATGGTGCAACACCTTGTCAGATCTCTTTTATATAATAGATCCTAAACGACCTAGGCCCTTTGTTCTGTCTTCCTCTTGGTATTTTAGAAGAACTTATCATGATGGCTGTCATGGAAGAAGAGAAGAGAGAGCATATGAAATATTTTCATAATGTGTTGAGAAATGGCGTCGTCATAGCAATTGGACTTAACTAAAACAGAATGTATCAAAGATGGAAGGGTGGGGGTGTCTGCAGCCAGGAAACAGAAAATCTGAAGAACAGCAGTGGGAACACTCAGCTGTATGAAGCCATGGAGCCAAGGTTCCAGCTCATCAAACTAGTCATGTATTTTCCCTTTTGTTTGCAGCTAATATCAGCTTTTTGAAAGGTCAGATTGAAGTCCAAGTTTTAGAAATATGCTGCAGGAAAGGCCTCTGCAGGAAATTAGCTATAAGCCTTTTTTTAGTAACTGGGCCAGCATTACTCCCAGGGACCCTCAAAGTGTGTTAGCTGTTATCCAGGGACCTAGATGGAGAGCCAAGACTTGCAAGGTGGATTCGCTCTTTGCTGGACAGGTGTGAGGCAGGCCTGCAGTAAACCATCAGCCGGGTAACAGTCTCTGATATGTTTTTGGTCTTTGGCAGAGTGTTTGTAGTAATCTAATAATTAGAGAAACCTAATATGTCACAGGCTCCGAATATGAGCTTGTCAAGCAATCTGATGAGCAGGTTTAGATGGGGAGGGCTGGTTTTCAAGTATATCTTTGGGTTCCCTGGGCTAGAATTTCCTCTGCTCTTCCTTTACCTGCCTTCTTCCCTTTGTGGGGGCTGCCGACTGCAGGTGCTGAGAAGTGGGTGTCAGGAATAGTCCACAGTCCTGGCATTGCTGAACCTGCGCTAAGGACAGTGGGCGCGAGGCCGGTCTTGTAATCTATCCTCCGTGGGCTATGCGAGGACTCTGCTAGTCATGCGCTGGGTCTGTTGCGGTCCATCAGCTGTGGTCAGAGTAGGTAGCAGAATGCAGTGTCCTGATGGCAAATGCTGACTCCAGGAATGCGGGGGAGGCAGGCAGAGTGAGCACTTGGGACTAGTGGACCTGAACAGCTGCACTTGTACCTCCCTTCCACCTCTTTTGCATGTTCCTTTCAAAGGGGCTTTGAACAGGAAATAGTGTTTTGTTAAGGAAGTGTCCCAGTAAACTAGGCCCAGGTTAGATCTCTATAGCTTGAGTTCTTTCTCGTTTCTGATGATTTCACAAAGTTATACTGTTTTATGACTGAATGGAAGGGAATACAGAAATCATCTAGTACTGGCAATCCCAGCTCATTTATCGGGATGTGGGTTGGGCAGGAGGGCATGTCTAGTGTTAAAAAGGATACTCAGTATTATTCAGGATTATTTGAAAAGTGGGGAGACTGAGACCCAGAAGAGGTCAAGGCAGCATCTCTGCTAATACCAGGGAACCTTGGTTCTTTCTCATGTTTTAAGTCCCTAGTGGGATTTAGAAACTCTGTAGAATGAGAAGGGTGCTGGGAGAATATCTGAAATTTGATTTGTACCCGTATTCATGTATCTTTCAGGATCTGTGTTCTTCGTTTTGAAATCACTGTGTTCAGTTTGCCCTTAGAAGCTTGTTATCTTGCTCTCCCTGCTCCCTCTTTAGACACCACATTCTTCCATCATGCTGTCATCGTTTCGTAAACGCAGAGTCCAGGTATTTGAGCAGCATGCAGGAGATGTGTTACTTTTTCAGTTTGGCCTGGCTTGCAGTGAAGACACATATGTGTCACAGAGGTTGAATGATCCTAAGAGAGGGGGAAAAAAATCCCTGCCTGCATGACCTTTCTGTTAAGCAGATTGCATAGGGTATGGGCTTTTGTTTTTTTTTTCTCTGCTGTTACTTGAACAAAAGTCTTAGTAGATTTATTCTCAAATTTGTAAAGCTTTTTGTTTTTTTACCTTCCTCTTATTAAGGCATGAATATATTAATTTCTTACCATCCTACTGGTGTTTGCATGTAGTGTTTGCTAATTCTTTAAATTTTAATTGATGGTTACTTGGTTCTTAAGAACCAAGGGACTAAACACATTACCTTAGATATTTAGAAAATATAATCTGAAAACATGTCAAAATAGTGTTTTTCAGTTTGACAAATATTGTAAACTTGGGTTTGTTCCCTGTTTCCATTGACTTACTTTTTTTTGCCACAGTTCTTGAAATGGAGCTTGCATTTTCTTGTTTTTAAAAAAGCTAACTATATATGTTTTTATACATGTACAGTATTTGAGTGTTTGCTAAATTGGACCTTTTTCCAAAAGAAAAATGCTTAAAATTAGTGTCTTGATATCCCATAAGCAGAACTCTAAACTCCGCAAATTTCCTGTGATTACGGGTGATAAATCCAAGGCAAGCCCTTTTATAAATCAGGCTGGTTAATTAAACAAGGTTTATAAAAATGGGCACATGATACGTTTTTCCTATTTTGAATCTCCGTAACAATATTTTGCACTTAAATACCTCTCATCTGAATTTTACAGGTTATAAAAGGTAAGTAGCAGCAAGGTAGTGTTTGAGGCATTCAGGAGTAAGTTTTCTTAACCATGTTTCTAGATTTTGATGCAGTGCAGTATGAATGAATCTTTTGCTGCTTTAAGCTGAATCCCTGCTCACCTCTGCAGAATCCTTCTAACAAGTTCAAATGAATTAACCAAGCTGAAGGCTGACATGCAGATCTACAATCCTGATTGGAATGTGGTTTAAGCAGAAATATTTCTGGCTTTCCCATGGTTGAAATTCTTAAGTTATGTATTAGTTACCTCTCTGCTTACCCTCAGGCCTACCACTAAAATCTGTAGCTGAGCTGGTTTTGAGTCAATTCACTTAATCTGAGAATCAGTTAGCATCAAATTTTATGGGTGCTGGCACTAATTAATTCTTTGGTGCTTTGTTCTGGGGGAGCCCTTCCACATCCATGGATGTCGTTCTCCTGCTTTGGAAATGTGCTGGCTTTCTAAGCCAGGGAGAAAGGGCATTGTTGGTTCTGCATCTTTGGGGTCTGACTAAGCAACAAACACAAAACCAATGGATGCTTCCTCTGACCTTTTACTCTGGGTGATGTTTATGAATTTTTCTGTAGAGCCAAATGCTCTCCTCATCCTGTTAGTCCCGAAAACCCCTTTGCCCCCCCCCCACACAAAAAAACCACCAGTGTATCTGGTGTCCTTCCTGGGGTCTAAATTCATTCTGCAGTGCTCTAAATGCCCCTGTCCTCATGGCAAGCTCAGCTGGCTAAGATGTTCAGTTCGCTAAGATGTCGGTAGTCCCCACCCTTTGTTTCCAAATAGTGACTCCTCTGGCCTTGGACACAGTTGTGTTCTCTTCTGAGGTTCCATAGAGAGCTCTCCTGACTGGATTTTTCCACTCTCTGAGATCTGCTTGAAGGTGTCCTGAGCTGCTCTTTCACTGCAGGTGCCTGGTGTGCAGGGTTCAAAGTGTTGGACCTTTGGTTTGAAAGTATATGTCTCTGCAGTCTTTTCCGTTGCTTAACAGTATCCTTCCCTCCCACTCCCTCTTCCCCACTCTCCAGAGACAGATCCCTCCCCTCACACCATGGTTTTGTAGCCTCTGTGGATTAGGGTAAGGCTTTACAAAATTCCCTAGATACCAAGGACTGCCTCAAATAGCTGTCTGTGGGTGATCATCAGGAAGACAAAGATAGGAATTAATGGCCAGCTTCTTTCATAGGAATCATTTCCAGTTGATAATATGTATTAAGCTGGTGTTGGTTATGAGGAATCCTTCTCATGCATGGCTTTGGGTTGAACTAGAACTTTTAGCCAAGATTCACATCTTTAGACACCCACTTTCTTCCCAGAGATCTAGCAGTGTTGTACAAATGCTGACAAGTCCTTTTTATTTATTACAATAGAGGACATAGTTGTAATTCCTGTGTTATCCCCAGTGCTCAATTCACATTACTTGCTGAATGATGCAGCTAACACTCTTGCTGCATTGCAGCAGTTTAAAATAGCCGGTCTTCTCTAATAATTAGTTGCCAAAATCTGACCTTTTTTCTTTCAGTTACCTTAAATAGGAAGCTGTCCTTACATAGAGAATACATCCAGTCATTCATTTCCCCTTCTTCATTCTCCACAAACATAGGCCTGATTGACAAAATCAGAGTCCTTCTGGTGCTTTGAGATAAGCAATCTCAAAGAGAGACAGTTGATCACTGTCCTGGAATTTGGCTCCTTTGCGGTTTTTAGGCAGTTAGTGGAGTCTGTAGATAAGTCTGTATGATTGGAGATTGGTGTGTGTGTGTTTTAATGGCACATTTCCCAAAGTTTTCCTTTCTAGCTCTCAAAAGGTGTTAATCCCATTAAGGCTGGGAA